AAACCATGACAAATCGTAAGTGTTAGACAAAAACAAGACAAGCAACCAAGTCACACAATCGCAACACTAACATTCTGATATAACGCATAACATCAATAGCTTGGGGAATGGAACTGGAACGGTTGTGTGGAACTTTTATATCAACAAAACATATCGTTCGCGCTACGATATGTAGCTTATCACAATTTTATTCTGCGATGACGAAAGAATCTTATTTAGGCCAGATAAGATATTAGATTGGTGCATAAAATTATTTTTCATGTTGGTGTAGTTGAGAAATTGACTTATTTAATATAAATTAACATAGAACCTAAATATTAACAAAGAACCTTTAAATCAACGTCCGTGGGCAAAGGCGCAGAATGAACGTTCAATACAAATCTACATAACAACAGCTATGTATCAGTGAAGTAGCTACATGCGGCTCGCCCGGACACACGTACAAAAACATGCGACGTTGCCGCACTTCTCGTCGCGCTGCCTGCCGCAAGGCGCCACTACATTTACCCAAGGCGAACAGAGTCGTAAGGTGTGTCGTTCGATGGCTGGGTCGCCAGTTACTTCAATTCAATAACTTTTATGGCAAAGAACATTAATTTACAACGTTCAACGATACTTACAAATTTATGTTGGATGCAATGCAATTATAATAAATAAAGTAATCAAAAATTACATATAAAACTACGCTTGACATTTAAGATCGTTAGTATGTAGTATAGCTAAGTTTGAAATAATTTATCAAAAACAATGTTCTTCGCACAATCGAGGGAATTGAGGTAATATTAAAGTATAAATTAAGTTATATTGTATAAACTCAAGGAAAAATACATTAGAATTTATTACACGTTACACATATTATAATTCGTTTTAAAAATATATTTACCATATAAATCTAAATAGTCTTAGTAAATCGGTAAGAGATCCTCTCGACATCGTATTATCGTCCGTGGCGAGTTCGACGACCCGACAGCGACTCACCGCTTGCGAGCTCGTATTGCTTTTGGAGCGCGACATTGCAAAATGCTAGTTGTAGCAACGATTGACTGTTAGTATATTGCTATTTTTGTAATAATTATTCAAGTAAATATTTTTTTGATGCCGATATTATTGTAATCTAACATCAGATCAGCTACTAATCTACACCTCTAGCTGAGTTTAAGCATAGGCAAACAGTTTTGCAGTTGTTTTTTTATGTAAACGACACGTTAGTAAAATTCTCTAAATTAAATAAAGCAGATGAATTTGGAATGTTTTGTTATCTTTCCGGGCATTTCGTTTATAATTATGACTTTGTGCTCATTTAGTTGTCGTTTATAAGTCGAATTGAAATTACAATTATCGATAATCCTGACACTTGAATAAGAACATAATTATTCCGTGTTTTTTTTTCATGATAAATAACTATACTGGCAATACTGTCATAAAACATGTGTTACGAGTTACGTTATGTAATTTAAAATGTGAAAAGTGAAATATAACAAGAAAGACAAAGAATTTAAAAAAGTTGTATGATTAATTTTAATTATCCTTTTTCTAAAATAATCAACACTACTACAAAGATCGTTTATTTTCTCCATATTTGCTGCATGAAAATTTCGGCTTAGAGAGAAACCTCGATAAGAGAGAAAAATACCGCGGTTCCTTGGACTCTCTTATCCATCATGCACGACTGTATGTAGCATTAGCTAGTCTACAATATACAATTTGATCTAAATCGCACAATTTCAGTACAATTCGACCGATGCAGACAGGCGTGAAGTGGATATAATTCCGCGTTTAGTCTTAACAGTACAGTGTGCCTTCGAGAGGCCTAATTTTAGTCCTGTATCGATTTGAAAGGGTAGGGGATTCTATAGAAGAGGGTACAAATAGAAAGGGGAAATATTCTTTTTTGTGCATCTCTTTCTCCGTCGGTTAAAGGTACGCAACATCTGCAATTGCGGATGTCTATAGGTAGCGGTCGCTTTGATATTTCAGTGATTTAAAAAAAAACTGAAGAAAATATGGGAGTTCAGTAGTTTGTAACAGAATGCATTTTTATTTCCTTTTATGTTACACCTATAAATTGTAGAAATGTTTTTGGTGGTGGTCATTAATTTCATACTAGGGGTGCTTTAAATGTAATTTTTAATGTTAAAATATATAAGTAACTACTAACATAAAAAATGTAAGTATTAAATATCAGTGTCCAAAAGGTTCTTTCATAAAAATAATCCATCCATACTGTCCGCTGCACTAAAATTCTAAATATCATTTAACATTTCCAAGACAATACCTATATCAACCACTGCCACAAATAATCTATGATTTGTATTATTATTATATTGGTTTTTTTTTTGCTAGCTGATGCCATTCAGACTAATATTATTGACATGATCTTGTCTTTCTACAGTAAATTAATACTTTGCGCTTGAAGATACTAATATATCTGTTGCACAAGTGTTCACCCCTAAATTAAATTTTCATGTTAGAAGTCCTAAAATGTCAGATTAAAGAAGGATGAAAAATTACTTTAATCCTTTATTGGTTAAAAAAGCAAATTTAAACATGTTATAATATAATCTGTTATTTCAAATTTTTTACTGAAATAAAAACTATGAGATTCTTAATCATTCAGAATTAATATCTAATTTAGTAAGCTTAGTGTGACTGAATAGTGACAATAAATATGAAAAGGACATGCTTCAGTGGTTTGAAGACATTACAGGCAGTGGAGTTGGCCTGAGTATCTTCCATAACCTTATGCTGACCAGATTGGTTAAATAGTCAAGTAACATGGTTAATGCATTCCCAATTTAAATAAATTTGAAATGCTGATAGTCTTGAGCCTGAGAAAGGCCATAAAGCTACTTTAAATGCGAAAAAAGGGTTGCAACGAGGGTTAAAAAGTTGTACGAAAGTATCGTAATTTTTACAGTTATAAGCTTAAAAAACCCTTTTTTTAGGCTGTTAATTTTATATTAATAAATATGACAATTAAGTTTTTAAAAGTTTTACCCTCAAGGGTTCAAAATAACATGTGAGGTTAATATTTAGTAAATTAAATATGTTTTGTTGTAATGTTTTTTTAAGTAAAATAATTAGCCTTAATAAGTTAAATCCCCTCCGAATGCAAAATTTCACGCGAACGAAATCGCAGGCACTAGCTGTGTTTTATATAAATAAATATGACATTCAAAGTTTGTAAAAGTATTACCCTCAAAGGTGCAAAATAAAAATAGGGAACAGGGGATGAAAGTTTGCATGGGAATATGTAAGGTTTATGTAAATGTTTTGAAAGTTTAATATGTTTTGTTGCATTGTTTTACAAGTTTAAGAAAAAAAAGTGGCGAGCACGGTAGATGAATGGATGGTTGGATGTTTGTTTAGAACAGTGATTCCCAAAGTGGTCTATATCAACCCCTAGGGGTCTATGACAACCTGCAAGGGGTCTACATCAGCGGAAAAAAATTGGGGGTCCACGAAATAAAATGGGGGGTCCACGATAGTGGATCTCAACACATACACTAATATTGCTTATGTTATTTTATTCATAGTTTATTAATGTTACGTATATTTTACATAAGAGATACAATTTTTTTTTGAGTAGTTTTAATTTAAATTCAATTAATAAATGTATAAATTAACATTTGTTTTTAATTTATGTTTTTAACACTAAACTTCACTACAGTTAGAAATTTACAGGAAATCAAAATCAGGTAAGTAGGGGGTCTACTCAACACGGAAAAACATGGCAAGGGGTCTACGACACAAAAAAGTTTGGGGAACTCTATTTTAGAAGGTATCTCCAGAACGGCTAAACATATATCGATTATACTTGGCTTATATATGGAACATAGTCTGGAAGAACACATGGGCTACTTATTTTTTTTTAATTCCGCGCGGACTGCCTCGCGGGCATGAGGTAGTTTAATATACATGCTTTATACACATAACCTACACCTACCTCTGTAACGTAGTAAACAACTAAATAATTACCAAAGATAAAAACAAATACATTTTGTTCTACCCTTATTCCTTCAATTTTAAATTAAATGTTTTTTTCGCGAAAAGCAAGTTACTTAAAATAAAAAAAATCCTAATGACTTATGACCTTTTCATCATATTATCCTACAGGTTATTCGAGGGATACTCATACATGCATTACATACTACTTATGAAAACATAACCCACCTTCTGTAAAATTGTGATAAAAGTAAAAATAAAACCTTGGTTTCTATAATTAGAAATAGCTCCTGTAATACCTATAAACAATAAAACTTTAAAACACTAAACAAAATACTAAACTTTCATTTTTTGCTCTGAATTATCAAAACAGATAAATTATGAAGTAAACAAGAAGTGAATAAAAAATCTATACTCGTTAAAACATTAGTTTTGGTTGCTGCTTTAGTGTTTACACGAATACTAGATCCAATGGATGCAGAAAATAACTAAACATAAACACAAATAAATAATAAGAACAAATAAGTAAAAAGTCAATAGTGAGAAATAATCGACTTTAACTCAATCGTTTATCAATACTCAAGCGTGGTAGGTATGTTACCACAAAAACGTGTTTAATCTTTAGTTTCGATCACCATCGTCATAACTGTAGACCGTAACAGCAGACTGCTATTTTCAAATGGTAATTAAATAAGCTACAAACACTACTGTTCCTTTTCCTAGTGTTAATGTTTTTTTTTCCATTTTGTCCTCAGCGTCTGTAGATATTATGTGTAACGAAGCTAATGATTTACTATACAATAGTAAAGCTGTTATTACAATTTGCTACGGGAAATTATTAATAAATATACTGAATAAGGGTTTATGTTTACGCGAGTGTGTGTGCGTCTATTTTAGTCGTGAATGTGTGGATCTGCTTTATAACTTGCCATAGATATCAAAAACGACGTTTCCTTAAAATGTGCAGGCATTTTTTTTTATCAGAGAATCTTACAGTGAATATAAGGTACATAATAACAATGATTATTGGGATCAAACAAAAATGAAAATTTTACCGTTTAAAGTGTTCTCTTATTCGATCTTCACGTATGTTATCGGGTAAATTTCCAACCCACAGGTGCCGAGTCTCTCTAACCATCTTGCTTCGAACTCCACATTAGGAATCATTACCCGTTCGCGTCACTACGTGGCAAAAATCAATTTTGCACACCACGGTGCTATACACATTTTGATTTTAACACTATTAAATTAAACAATAAACATAACGCCAATCACACAATATGCACTTTTTGAGGAAAAACAACTCTATATTTCACTTCACGACATTCGAAAATTCTTCACAAAACACACTTCACTACAAACACACTACGTAATAGACGCGAGCGTACACTTCGCAGCTCTCGAATTGACAGTGAGACCAGCTTCGACGCGAGTTTGCCGATAAGCTCCGCCTTCTGACCGCTGCCGCGCAAAGTGGAGTAGGGTATCCAGCACAAAATTACAAATTTCAATAAAACTTATACGTTAAACATACAAGTTTTATTGAAATACACACGAGGAAAAAAAGTAATTAAAATTTCTGAATAATGTGTAATTTTGTCTTAGATGTATAATAATTATCTCAAATTATCGAAAATATTAAATTACATTTTTTTCTTGTCTTAATTAAAGAAATATAGATAAGAACCTGATTTACCCTTTTTCACTCTTTTCTTACTATTTAAAGTAAGATAATAATTCAAAAGAATGAAATTTTGCTCCTAACCAACATCGGACCGCTGGCCAGCTTTCCCTAAAACTCTTGCATCTCTTTCACATTACCATGTTTCGTTCTCGTTTTAACACAGTACTCGGAACGTTGGTGTGACCATTCTTACATCACTACGCATAATATAGGTTTTTAAAAATTTGATTATGAATGTGGATTATGATTGTTTTTACAAGAGAATGTGACTGGTGAAATATGTTGATACAAGTAACATCATATTTATTAAAAATAACTTATTCCATTCCATAAATTAGATCACTTTAGGAATCGGCCATTAACGATAAGAGCCTTGAAAGGGAGGAAATGGGTTCAAAAAATCAGAAAACATCATAAAAAGAAATAAGATGTCATGTGTTAGATTTATATTATAAATAATGACGTATGAACAAAATAATAGTATTTTATATTTCAGACAATCGTTCATATCAATTTCTACTAAAATACACGCGACTTTAGATATAAGTCGAGTAATGTAAAAACTCTATCATGTCATCATTTGTGTGACGTCACCGACACGCAACGCATTTTTTGTACATAAATGCCGGCTTTTGATGCCGGCGAAGCGGATAATGGACTTAGCGCTATTTAATGTCATACAAAGCAAATTAAAATCCGTTGCTTGCCGTGCGTGCGGCGCGTCTGGCGAGCCAATGGACGCATATTCTTCGTTTTTACCCAAAGCAGAAATTAGGTATAGTTGGACAAGGATCTTGTGTTAGTCGGAAAATATGTGTACCAACAAATTCATCTTGAGAGGGTCATATTTTGACCGATGAAAGAGCGGTGGCTGCACTATTTAGTGTTGCCATTTATAACTTGTCCGTGAATTTGCCCTGTCAATTTCAAAAAAGCTGCCGTAAGAGGTCGAATTTTTCATTACACTTCTTTTTCTATACTTGCGACATTAATTTTTTTTCTCCCATTTCGGGAGAATACATTGTGTTGTAATTAAAAGTAAAAGATGCTAAAACATTTATAATGTTAATTATTGTTATATTATCACTACATTTATCAAAAACAAATCAACACTGAAAATGTTATAACACAATATTGGTTTTGTTTTTTTTTTTAATTCTTTCATTTATGTTTTATTTTATTAAAAACTAAGAAATAAAAAATAAACATTGAAAATGGATTGCGTACATTATCCTTTTAGGTAAATATTGTCATGTAAATGACAACATCGAAGACACTACAAAGCCCTCCGGAGACCATTTTTCTCGCCTCACTTTTCTGCTCCGAATTACTTAGGTATCCATAGCTATATAGATATATACCTTGTCCATTTCATAATAACTTTACAACTGGCGCGTTTGAAGAATTGAATTAATTTTGTAAATCTGTACAACACAGAACTAACATGTCTCATAGTGACGTCGACCGTGTATAACGAACAATCGAAAATTGGCTTAAGTATAAAATTAATCGAACGTAATTGAAAAAAACTATTATGTATTTATGTTCTCTTTGTTTAAATAATTAATAAAAATTAACCTTAATTGCCAAAATATACAATTTATATTTGCGAAAGATAGATATATACAAATTAAATTATTCGAATTCACTAGTTTAAAAGCGTTCAAAAAGTTCTAGTATCTTTGTGACGGATTTCGTAAATTCCAGTTTCTTCTTTTTGATTATATACAAAGACGCGCGGTTCGAATCGTCATCGACCAAGCGATTACTGTTCGGTTTGACCCGCTAATCCTTAGTATTTCCTACAGCTTGTACCACAGGGAGTGTTGTGAGAATTGTTTGGGACCATCTCCGTCCATGCCGTTGATTTTCGTCATTGCTCAAGTCCACAGAGCTCAAAGTGCTGTCGTCATCACCTCGATAGTTGGCATCCCGCAACGACTAGGTTTTGGAGTAACTTTCTACCTATCAGCGTATAGCCAACGATTCCAACTTCTACGAGTGTAACAATCGAAAATCGAAAAGATTCGGAACTGATTTGATCCCATCCCTACAATGAATTGTCAAACGTCAATTGGTTTGTCAAATTAACATCACAAAACGACTGTTTTATTTTCAAAATAATTACTTATGTCACAAATATTTAAACAACCTGTGTTAATCTAAGTTGGAATTTACTTTTAAGTTTTGTTTTTTATAATATTTTTTGGCGAGAACGAGGTTGTTCTATGGGTTCTTATTGTTTTTCTTTTAGTGAGATCGGATGTCACTGTGCTGACATTGACATTTTATAATTTATTTCGTTTCGTGATTCGTGTTTCCATTGAATGATTAAATTGTCCAAGATTGCCTGGTTTTGTTAGTTATAGGGTTAATCTAAATATATAATGAGACTTAAAGTTATCACGATTAATTGTATTATTTTGTGCATGTCAGATACTGTGGTACGAGTTTAAAGAAAGTTGAAATGTTCCTTAAACATTTTACAGTATTTAGGAAAAGTTGCAATAGTTACATAACAATTCAAAAATATTTTGCTACGGGAAAGATAGCAAATGACGCAATAAAACTTAGTGATAATTGTGTACAGAAACTAAAGCAACTGTGTGAAGGTGATAAATCTTTTTTAAGATTGTGTGTGGAGAGCGGTGGATGCTCAGGCTTTCAATATAAATTCCACTTAGATGACAAAGTTGGTGAAGACGACAGGTAATCCATTTACAAACTTCTTTTTTTAAATTAGGACTTAAAAGGGAACACATGAAAATAAAAGTAGTATTGAAGATATTATATTTGTTAAACATTCTACAACATCTAATTAATCTTATTTCATGTCAATAATGAAACAAAAATCAATAACTGAGGGTTTTTTTTTTAAATCAGTAATACATGTGAATTAAATTATTAATATTACTTTGCCCATATTTTTTGTTAGGGTTGGAATCACTTCATATACCAATTTTTTTTCTATTTAGATATAATTACATACAATTCATATATGTATTTATCTGATGTTCTCTCTGTGAAGGAAAACACCATGATACAACCTGTGCATGTCTACAAAAAAAAATTCAAAGATATATGTGAAGTCAACCAATTCACACTGGGCCGTTGTTGTTGCCTAATCATCCCTAGCTTAGGCTCCATGGCCTTATTATCTATGGTTTTTTTCTGTTCTATTAAAATTTGTCTTTGTATTGAAAATCTATGGTTACATTTGGAAATGCAATTAACAATGCCTATTATCTTGATTCTGCTGCAGAGGACATTAAATATGATTTGATTGTACTTAGAAAAATTAGTTTGATCTATGAACAGTGCTATCATTGAGCATTTTATTAATATCAAAACCTTAGTTTCTTTTGTGGTCTTGTGTTGCATGCCAAATTGAGCCGGTTTAAAATAAAAATGTTAACATTGAAGATTAAAAAAAAAGAAAAATATCCTAGAACATTAACACATTATGAGTTTGTACAAAACAAAAACTAAAAGAAATTATTAATCAATTTACTGGTTGTTTCAGAATATTTAAGAGGGATGGTGTGCGGGTTGTCGTGGATGAGACATCATTGGAGTATATAAGAGGATCAACTATTGATTATCATACCGAACTTATAAGATCTGCATTTAGAGTTGTCCAAAACCCTAATGCAGATATTGGTTGTTCTTGTGGGGCAAGCTTCTCTATAAAAATTGATTAGAATGTAGACTAAATATAAAAAAAAATCTCTTTTTTGTTTTGTTAATAAATAAATATTTAGATTAGATTATAGGTTGTTAATAAAAATATTTAGTATGTGCAATTATCTATTATTTATGCCTTTTTAAGCTTGCTAAGTTTTTCAGTTAAATTAATTGATGAAAATGTGATATAAAATGTGATATTTTCTTTGTTATACTGAAAAAAATGTGAACATTGTAAAAGATAACATTTTTAATTGCATATAAAAAAAAATTATAAAGTGTTTTATGGTTTTATATTTAATGTTTTTATTTTTTACCAGACCGTTTCGGAAGATTAATATATTCCCATGCGGAATATTTTAACCTTCCGAAGCATATATGTGAGTTAAATTCCATTGTAACCTGTAAACTAAACCACAACCGATTTTGATGGGTGTGGTCTCATGACACCAATCAATGTGATTCGTTTCCTTTACATGGTTGTCATAGTCCCGAGCTTTTTGTTTTTCAATGTGTTTCTTTTATAAATGGAAACTTTATATTCCGCGACGCCTGGCAATTTTAACTAGCAATTTTTATTATTTAGCATTCAGGACACAAAAGTAAAGCGTCTAAGCTATACAGATGTGCACTCAAATTTCTACCTAGGTCACTTTTCTATGATTGTAGGCCACATGAGTAAAACATTTCGAGCTCATTCTCTTTTTTATTAAAATAGGACTATCCATATTTATTTAACGTAGCATAAAGGAAATTTATGCAGATTTTTATTAATTGTCCACGACACTAAAGGAAATAATAAAAAGTGGGATAAATAAAAAAAGAATCCGTAAATAATATTATAAAGTATAATGATCCAGTAATCAGTTCTCTTATACTAATGAGATTTTAAAATTTGATTATATTTGTGATTGTGAGATGTTAATTGAAGCCCAAAAATTTTCGAGTTTGGGCGCTGGTAAAATTATCATAGGTTCATTCTTGTTAGAGGAATTGGCAGCGGATCTGTAAAAAAATAGAAAAAACCCTTTAATTAAAACAATAACTTTGGTAAACTCCAAATTTAATATCAGGTTGAGACCACAAGAGTCTAAATTTCTATTATAAATCAACGTATAATTAGGATGTTTAAACAAAACTACAAAGTTTTTTTCTTATTGAAAAAGGTTTTATACATTTGTATTTGTAATTAATTTTGTCTTTAAATTAAATTTTTAATACTCACGGCTGCAATTCCACATTGAATGTAACAGCATCGTTAACCTTCTTAACATTGTGCGGCGAATAGCGGTTGTAAGAACCCCAGATGCTGTTCATTAGCTTGCTGTTATATTTCAACGGAGTAAGTTCTATCACTGAAATTATTAAAATATTCTCCTATGTAATCCTAAATATATAAGGCTTTAATTGGAAAAGTAATAAAAATGGTATTTTATCGAATCTGTTAAATTCAAATTCCGCTGCGCCCCAAAATGGAGGAACAGATTTATTAATTAATCAAATATTCGCTTTTAATTTTCAAACAGTTTTAATAGGTTCAGTATTTTTTACTAAAATATCTATATATTCTTTAATAATGTTTTATGCCCGATTTATTTTGGCTTTATTAAAAAAACACATAATCCAATCTTTCCTACAATAAATAATGCTATGTGTCGCCATCTAGCGCACACAAAAGTTATTAAAACCACTTTAGGAAGTGTATTGTACGGAAAAGAAAAAAACATGATGAATCTTACTATTGGTATTGAAGACTTTTGAAGACGGGCCTCGCTTGTCAATGTTTGAGATCTTCATATTGCGTTCGGTCTCGCGGATTCGTTTTGCTGAGAACGCTGATGGAGGAATTGACGCCATGTTGCTTTGGCACGCTGAAAAAAAAGTAACAGTTTTTATCGCATCAATAACAGTAAGTTTGTAGCATGTTTGAAAACAAAATAATTGTAAAAAAATCATTAAGACTTTATCTAGACATAGTGTTTACAATTAATATAAAAATACAAGTATTTTACTTGATGGGCCATTTAAATAAATACTTGTACTAACTTCCTATTAAATTTTGAAAACTTTTATTACAATATTGGTATATTATTTTATTACAATATTGGTAATAATGGTTTATTATGAAATAATGGTATAGATTTTTATAGATGAAGTGTGTATTTGTACAATTTTTTAAAGAATAGAAATATAACGTATATTAAATTTAAGAAGAACAATTTAGAGTTTAAATGTTGGTACATAATTGTTATTAAAATCACGTGTTTAAGCTTAAACACGAACTACAATTATCTGTACACTTTGTTACCTTCACACAGTTTGAGAACAATATTTTCTAGCGTCAAAATGAGTGCTTCACTGTCGCTTTTGGGGACAAAGCGAGAGTTGTTGAAACCGTACGAGTGGTGAACACCAGTTAGCACCATGAAATCACTGTATGGAGAATGCAAAAGAGAGAGAGGCCCAAGGAGCACAATCACACGGGTAGAGAGAGACGTGTCGGATATAAGACTGGTCGCGTCGCTGCGCGGCGGCTGCGAAATACTGACCCCAGGGGATGTTATCAGCCGATGCCAGTGTAATGGGTCATTTAAAGATAAAGCGTCGATTTTAATAGGTACTCTGTAATAACATTAAATACAGTGGGTAGACAAATATATTTTACGTATTTTACAACTTGCAATCTTTTCGTTAGTATTATACGATTATTGTTAGTTTTTCAGGTAACAATTGATTTTTCCACTTACGTAAAGTTTTTAATGCACAAAGATTAATTCCTTTTTTGTACACTGTTTGATGCTCATTTGCTTGATTTAGGCGTCATTGTCATCAATCAAACATATGCAGAACTCTACGTTAATCTGAGCAAGTTTACACGAAGAGTTTCCAGATTAATGCTAACATCACTTCTTTCCCTCTCCGAATTCTACGGTAAGTAATAAAGTACAGCTTATCTTCGTTAATTGCATATTAGATTCTCCCAGAAAAAACTTTCCATGTTCGTTTTGTAAGTGTCGAAGTTTTATAAAATTTTGATAACACCATCCATCCATTGTACTAGCAATTATACATACATATATCGATTTACCTTGACTTTATGTAGATGTTATTGAAATCTAAAATATTATTGATATTATAAAACCCCGTGATTCTAATATTGTTTTCTATTAATCAAATTTAAGAGTTGATAAGGTTAAGTGATTATCGATTTATTCACGGCCATTGTTGGCGGAATTTTATCATTTGCATTCATCTCTAACTTCTGCTACACTCCGAGTCTACTCGGAGAGTGTAATGTTAATGAACGTAGTACCTTAGTGCATGAGATCTAACTTAGGAAATATTAAATGTTGCTGAATGCAACTGTTAGCTTTAATATCTGTGACTTAGTCCATGCTTCGCTAATAGTTAATGTATGTTTCATCCAAATGATAATTGCGATTAATATGAGAGTTATGTCAGTTAAATATAACAATTTTGGTGATTTTGATTTCCAAAGTAAATTGATCTAAGGCTTATTTATCGCCCATATTAATTAAGGTTCAGCTAAGCCTGGACAAAAATTTCGGTGCAACAATAGAAGTTGCGGGTAATCGTGTGATATATAAAATTAAAATGTAAATAAATAGTTACCTTAGATTTCGACTGTCATGAAACTTATATTAATACACATTGTACTCTTTGTTTGGAAAAGATAAAATGAAGACGGGAAGGAAAATATTTATCCTCTTTCATTGCGTCCCCTCCTTCGTCGATTAAGGCACATGCAATAGCGGATATCTATGGGCAGCGGTCGCTTTGCCATTTCGACGAACTCAGGTGGTCCGTTTGCAAAAAGAAAGAGATGACAATATGTAATAAATGTCACAGCAGTGGAAGTCAGCGGTAAATAAAACGGTATAGCTTCACTCAGTTGGGGTCATTTCAGTGAATCGTACATGACCTGTGAGCCCTGATCTAATTTGGCCGGACATATTAAGTGATAAAAAATTATTTATGATATTTCAATATCATCTATTTTTAAAATAATTTGTCGATTTAAAATATACATTCGTGAAATATATCCGCGGCAATGGAAAATAATTGATTATTGTTTAATTAACCTACGAATGTGTCATAATGTTAATTGCATAATTAGTTTTATGGCAGAAAATACATTTATGATTTCACTAGCTTTCACCCGCGACCCTGCTCGCGTGGCATTAAAAATATTAATTAGGAGCCTATGTGTTCTTCCAGACTGCGTTCTACATCTATGCCAAATTTAATCAAGATCTGTTGAGCCGTTTTGCAATACCTTCTAACATCCGTCCATCCATCTATACATCCAATCATTCGAATTTATAATATTAGTAAGATTGTATCTAAGCACTAGTCAAATAAATGTATTTGTCGCATGGTTTGCAATTCACCTTAGCAAACAATGGTAGGTATTAGAAACATAAAAAAATTCCGTGACCTAAAAATTTCGCGAATCAACAAACGACTTCCTTTCGTTATCACCTTTCGACCTCTGGGTTCGTTGCTGTATTTTTAATTTATTTTGTGTCTTATTATTTTTTAATAAGACCGAGAATTATTAATAACTTTCGCTTAGCAACATGATTTGTGTTGTGAAGTCACGACGAGAATTGGTTTAGTGTTGCTAAGCCCAGCAGTGATAAGATATAATAACTGTAATTTTATTTTTACGACTTTTCACCAAGTCGTTAGCAACAGGCCATTGATAGATCCCACATCAAGTTGTGAACGACCTTAAGCTAATGAACAATTCTAGTATTCTGATTATGATCTAGTGTAGGTTAATTATGGCTAACATAAAGTCAAGTCATGGTTTCAGTAGACGTCCTGTAGCAAAGCACAACAGTACATATAAAAGCAATGCAAGTAAAATCTTAATACTTTGAGGTAAAGACGGGCCTAAAGATGCTGAATTGGTTTTTTTCTTGGTTATATTCAAATTGACTTGTTTGATTAAAAAAAACCTATGTTTTATTGTGATTTTGTTGTTTTCTTTTCAGGTGTACTTGAAGTAAATGCATGTATGAACATATTTACCTACATACATAAGAGTACGTGAGTAACGCGGGCCCGAGAGACGCGTGTGCAGCGAATACTGTGAACGGGTTAACGGTCAATGAACTTCATTGATCTGGGAAAGTTCTTCTGTAGGTAACAGTATAAGCGTTTACACGTCATTTCTTTTATCAATATTTATTCCTTAGTTGAATATAGCTTTAAAATTAATCGGTTAATTATTTTTAAAGTTAGCGATAAACTTTTTAAAATGCCAGTTCGGAAATTATAAGATTGTTAGTGTATGATTATAAATTGAATGCATAAGGTTTTTATCAATTGCTATGACTATTAGATATTTTATTTATTAGTATACGTTTGTCCATTATGTCTTAGGAGATACATAATATAGATAAATTGCTAAATATACGGTAGAAGTGATAAAACTCTCACGATCCAGATGTCGCTCGGAGCGCGACATTGCACACTGCGAGATGCAAGTACGCGTGTGGTAAAGTCAACGGTACTTCTTCCTATACTATTTGTACATTACAAAAAAGAAGCACCGTTTGAAATCGTATCAGGTCTTGCTTAATTAGTTAGTATGGGAATGAAATCTCGTAATTATTAATTATTCAAGAATAAAAAGTGATAGTTTCAATTCTATTAAATTGTTTTCGTTAGATATATCTCTGTTCTATAGAACAAGATGATTTGAGGTTACCCTAAAATTAAAACTGCAATATTAGTATGAGTATTGCTAGGCCTTTAGCTTATTCTATAGTATATCTCACATATAGATAAATACAGCCATAAAATGTTTAATTACAAATATTGTCTCATGCTCTCCATCTCCTCATAGGAATCAAATGAATGTTTTTGGCAGAACGGATGACGATCATGTGCCAAAGTATTTAAGATATTCCACGCTATAATTATTGTACTAAACATAACTTGACTTTTGAATAACCCTAAAAGTATTTAAATGCGCGACATGTGCTTGTCATTTTATTTTAAGATAGGTTTATAATATCACTGATAAGATTAAAAACAAACTCACGCGGCATATTTGTATTATAGCCAGTTCACATTATCCCAATCCAGCGCTGGATTACAACTGGAAACACGTAGACTCGTATATTAATGCATTGTGTCAATTCGATCGTTGGATTGGAGTAATGTAAACTGGACATTAAATAGCAACAGATAGCCCCCGTTAAATTTGAGAAAGCCCGGTAGAACTTTTTTATAATCTGTCCAGCTGTTTTCGTCATATTGTTATGTTTTTGTTGCACCGTAATTGCGTATTTGACGACATCTTCAAATGGGTCAATAAGAAATTCGCGTCATGTAAAATCGTGAAGTAATTGCATATTTACATTAAGTTTGACGTCAACGCATAACCTAGTTAGGAACAAAACATATTTTAGATGGCACATGAGATGTTATTATACGGTTTTATTTATCATTAAAATAATCATGTGCCCAATTGACGTTCTTTTATTAGCACACATAATGTAAATCAGTTTTGAACTTAATACAACTCGATATAAGGCAGTAATATGATGTGATTTTTTTTATGAATGTCGTTACGTGAAAGATAAATAAAATTCTTTATCTCTGTTTAATCAAAGACAATGAAAGAGATGGCATTATGTTTTGTGTTATATTTTGTATTATTAAACTCACAGTTATGTGTAGAAGAAAACAATAGAAACATTTACATCAGTTCATTTATTCACAGTTGGTTTACATCATTATCCTTATATTCTACATAATCGATTGTACATAATTAATTATATAATTTCATAAAGTAAAAACTGTTAACAAAGAAAATGTTGATTTGTAACATTGAGATGCCTTTTATCGTCATTTTGCGAGCTGCGTTCCATCAGAGATGTGGTTTAGTTTAAAATTGTGACTGTACTGAGGTAGGTAAGTTCGTGAAAACAGCAAGAATCTGCATTTAGTACTTTTGATGTTGATAAATAAAAATCCCTATTTAAGTACTGCTTCGGTGCTGACTATTTAAATAAATGCTGTCAAACATTTAAAAACTATGAGTTATTTTTCTTGAGGTAATATTTTTTTCTTGTATGTAATTTTAATTTAAATCATGAATTTATAAAGCTAAGCGATCTTATCTAAAATAAATTATGTTATAAATAATTAATATCTGAGATGAACACAAACTCTTTGCTTTCGTGTTGTTAAATACTGCTTAGCTCAGTCAGCACCCGTTTTCGGAGATTACCTGAAACAATTTTTAAAATTTATATTATTTACGACGACCTTCTTTTTTGGACTAACTTCTCTTATAAAATAAAAAAAAATTGTCTGTCTGTATGTCTATCCACAAGGCCGCGATTGTTCCGGGTAATATCTGGAACGGGTGGACCGATTCTGACGGGACTTTGGCGGAAAGGCAGCTGATAAATGCAGGCATGTTATAGGCTACTTTTTCTGTGCCGACGAAATCGTGAGAGATCGCTAGCTTACCTATATTGTACCTAATTGTCTAGATGTGTGAGGTCTAGTATGTGCGGATGACAGGTGGCACGGTGCTGCACTCGCGCTGGTCCAGCGTGGAGTCAATGACGGGGCGGTAGGAGAGCGCGGTGGCTCCTGTCTCCGGGTCAGTCTCCGCCAGCGTGTGCTTCCTCCAGTGCTGCTCGAATGGTAGCTTCGTCTATTTCATAATATATATTTCATTAATAGACATAATATTTAATTCCACTGATTAAGTTTAATTTGTTTACATTGTTATTTAAAAAAAAAATAACAAAAATATCCATTGTTTTATAAATTTCAATTAGAAAGTAAATAAATATTAAGTAAGTAAATACTAATTTTACTATTAATATTACTATTATTATCTATCCATGTGAATGTTTAGATGGATGGATGGATAAAGGGATGGATGTTGGAACGATTGATAGATCGATCCGGCGACTCAACGGATTTTGACGAAATGTTGCACAGATGTGGAACATATAGATTTGAAATAGATAGATTTCATGAAGATACGAAGACGCTTTTCACAAATATTTGTACTAGACGCAATGTATACCTGTCCATCAAGTGGCTTGGAGTAGTCATACTCGTCGCGGCGCGTCTTGAAGTCCTCGCGTGCGTGTGCGCCGCGTGACTCCTCGCGAGCCAGCGCGCCCTCCACTATCTGCACAGAGTTCAACAGCAGGTTCTGCAGCTCCAGCGTCTCCACCAGGTCAGAGTTCCAGATCAGAGACCTGTCCGACACTCGCACGTCCTTCATCTGCTTGTAGATCTCGTGGATTTGACGTTGACCTGCCAATATGACCAATTTTTAATGAAATATTATTGGAAATAATTTACCTATATTATAATGGCTCCTACTTAGACTACTCTTAGCCTACGTTTTTCGATTGAATCTCAGTTTTATGAATTTTAAATTGATATATTTGAGTAAATTTCTATTAACCAGGCATAATAGAAAAGTAATCAAATAATGTATAGATGATAGGTTAAATTTTGGTTCGTAAGTACTATTATTATTAAGTATAGTATTGTGCTGTACCTTCTTCAAGCGTGTTCTTCTGCCGGAAGACAGCTGCGTTCTTCTGCATACAGCGCTGCATGCGCAGGCGCAGGTCCGCTGTCGAGATGCTGCCGTTAGCGTATCTGATCTTGTCCAAGTTGGCAATGCTCGCTTCGCCCGTCGACTGGAAAAAAGTAAATTGGAGATGAATTACCAAACTATCTTACTAATATTATTAATGCGAATTTAGTTAGATGAATGAATTGAAGGAATATCCGAAATAGCTCAACGGATCATAGACTATTAAGGACGGATTATTAAGTTTTATTTTAATTTCGCGCAAACGGAGTTGCGGGTAAATGCTAGTATTAGAATAAATATAAAGGCGTAGTAGTTACATCTTTGAGAGGTGGCTGCGCATCCCCGGGGCGGCTGTTCTCAGCGACGGTGAGTGCGCAGGCGCGGCCGAAGACGACGATGTCGAGCAGCGAGTTGGCGCCGAGCCTGTTGGCGCCGTGCACTGACGCGCAGGATGCCTCGCCCGCAGCCAGCAGACCCGGCACCACGCGGTCCGCGCCGCCGTGGTGAGTTATCACCTGATTAAATAAAAACAAGGAAATTGTTAAATTTTCAAGTATTCTTATATAAACACATTACGTGTCAGTACAATTTTTAAGATATCTTTTTGTATGCCACATAGACTATATTCGCTAAGGTTGGCAGCACTGAACGTGTTAAGGATACTACAATAGTTTTGAGATGTCTAGGCAGCTCTTTACTTCGGGCGTGTCGCTGCGTAGAAAACAATTTTAGGTGTAGCGGGATGGGAGAGCATTGTACAGTGCACGCATGACTTCGAGCCGCCAAGATATTTGAAAAGTTATTTGATATACCGTATTATTGTCAACACATACTGTAAGGTGAATGTTTTATTATTATTTATGGTATACAGATATGTACCTCTCCTCGGAAGTTGGTAGGTGTGCCACCCATGTTATAGTGTACTGTGGGCAACACTGGTATAGGCTCCTTGGTGACGTCAACTCCAGCGAAGATCATAGCGGTCTCGGAGATACCGGGCAGGCGCTGGCGCAGCTGCTCCGCCGGCAGGTGGTGAAGCTGCAGGTGCACGTGATCCTTCTCAGGACCACATCCGCGACCTATAATACAGATAAATTCATTAGCACAGAAATAAAAAAAATAGCCTATATGGTCACGTACATTAGCTATCTTTCCGTTAAAGTCCTGTCAAAACCGATCCAGCTATTCCGATAATTACCCGGAACGGACGGACATACATTTTAAACATTTTTCTTTTCGATATCAGTATTGCAAATACATACAGACACTCTAATTTTATTATATTCATAGATAAGGTTTGCAATATTCATCCGAATTGTAAGCTTTCATCAGCATTACTTCTGATATAGTCAAAAAGTATTTGTGTTCAGTGATAGTATCCTTAGTTTCATACCTTCCATGATCTCAACAGTCATAGCGCGGGAGACGACGTCTCTGCTGGCGAGGTCCTTGGCTACGGGCGCGTATCGCTCCATGAAGCGCTCGCCCTTCGCGTTCACCAGGAACCCGCCCTCGCCACGACAACCCTCCGTCATCAGGCATCCCGCGCCGTAGATACCTACATACAAATATCATAAATACTGTAAGTTTTTACAATTTAACTAATATTATAAATGCAAATATTTGGATAGAGGAATATATGATGATTAAAAGCTTTCTCCAAAACGGTAGAAATTTGGCATACATGTAGAACATAGTGTGGAACACATCGACTACTAATTATATTTTTTTAATACCGATCGGGCGGAGCCGCGAGCGATAGCTAGTATTAAACGAAAAATAAAAGCTAAAGAACTTAAATAGATTCAAATCTGCTATATGACCTTGAACTATTTGCTAACCGTTTTTAAATATTTTAAGCCATATGATTAAAAACCTTCCAGATTTGTTTAATTTATTTTTAATTTAAATGATTTTTTGTAGTTAGTGTATAATTTTGTTTTTTTTTTAATATTATAAAAAAAACAATCAGATTAAATATATTAAAAGTAATACCAAACATATAAAATTAAAATAAGCACAAATATTTAATGAATTTAGCGTCAAAGCTGTAAAGTATTAAACAGATGTTTTGCATTATTCATGTTAAAGCTATTCTCACGTAATATCGTCTTACAGCGTGGTAATTAATGGTAATTAAAAATCTATTATAACTGATGAATAATGACAGTAATCTCTATCATCGCCTCATTGTCTTCACTGCGCTGTGTTATTAAAGAATCTTAATAATATTATAAATGCCAATGTTGGGATGGATGAATGAATGTCTGGTATAAGGTATTTTAGATCGGCTTAAACTTGACATAGATGTAGAACACAATCTCCTTATTAAGTTTTTTATTGTGCGTGGACATAGTCGCGGGCGACAGCTAGTATGTAACACTGTGAGAAAGTTTTTTTTCAACTTATCAATGAGTTCAAAATTTTTAAGAGTTTTATTGTTAATATTTATCGATAATTTAGAAAGCCAAGCAACCCTCACTGGGCCAGCATGGTTGATTATGGCCTAATCATGTGGGGAAGTATGATGATGATATTACCAGTGGGATGGAACTGCACAAACTCCATGTCCTCGTTCTGCAGTCCGGCGCGAGCGGCCATGGCTGTACCATCACCTGTACACGTGTGCGCAGACGTGCAGCTGAAGTAAGACCGTCCAGTGCCGCCCGTCGCCAGAATAGTGTTCTTAGCTTGGAACCTAAGTAATTAAGTACCATATTAATGTATTTATAGTCATGGTCTTTGCCAGCCGATGATCTAGGTAAGGCTTGGTGGGAAAGCGCTACCTATATATTATCTACGTCTTATTCAAAGTAGTTTTTACATCTTGGTGATGCCTATATTTAGCCCGTAGTTGCCCTATTATGCCCCTAGTTGTATGTGTTGCTGCAAATTGCGTCATCTATCTTGATTCGCAGATAGTACAGACATCTTGTTATTTGCAGTAGACAAAAGATTACTGTTTAATTCAGATAAATTATTTTCTGTTAGCAATTATTATAGCTTTTAGTGTTTTTAGGATATTTTATTTACACAGTTGCTATTTCAACTAGTAATCCATACCAATGCTAGCTAAGTTGAAGACAAAACCATTATAAATTATACATTGAGATGTAAAAAATTGCAGAATTCATATTAAAACTTGATTTTGACAAGTTACTTTAGTTACTTAAAAGATATTAGATAAAAACTGACCTATGCAGTGTTCCATCTTCAAGGTTAAGTGCAATACATCCCTTACAAACTCCGTCCTCCATCAGCAGGTCAAGTGCAAAGTATTCAATGAAGTATTCACAGTCATATCTCAATGACTGGCCGTATAATGTATGCAGAAGGGAATGTCCAGTTCTAAAATATAACAAATTATTGTTAACAGTTCAAAATATAGTACAAAAATTGGCGGTATTTCACCTTAAAAGCCTCATTATTTTAAACCTTTTGTATGCATTGAGACATGGAGAGATAAAACAAAATGATACAGTTTTTAAACATGTCTGTACGAAAAAAGGTCTGTCAGTGGTACACAACATGTTATCCCCTCGTTTGTGCAATTCACTGCTACCTAAATACTTATTTGAGTGAAAGGACGGAGTTAGAATCTTTGCAAGTTGAATACCGCAAATGAGTTTGACTGTACTCCTCTTGTATTAAAAACCAACTTTCATACATTTTAAACAAATAATATATTGTATAGTTAGATGCCATCAATGCAATAAAACTTTGTGTCTTATCTTTATGTCTAAATGTTATCTTTGATTTCAATAATAATTAAAGTATTGTTTGGATTAAACATACCTGTCTGCCACAGCGCAACATCTATGGGCCTGACCACCTTTGCCAAATTTGAGTGATTGCCCTCCAAAGGCTCTTTGGTAGATTTTACCTTCAGGTGTGCGAGAGAAAGGCATTCCATAGTTATCTAATTCAATAACAGCATGAGGTGCTTCTCTGGTCATGTAGTGAATAGCATCCTGTGAAACATTAAATATTATTTGATATTTGTAATAACTGAAATACTTATCATAACATTTTTGCAAGTGTTGAAATAAGTTTAAAATTCATAATTAGTATTTCATTGAAATTGAAACTTGTTCATATCAAATTTCTGTTTATCAATAGAGTCTTTGAGATGATTTTTATGTTAAAGTTTTTAAAATTAAAATTGATTTTATTAAATGCTAGACACACAATTTTATTGATATTTAGATGCAATGGAAAAATCCCATTTCCAAAAACATTAAAAATATACTCATACCTTTTTCCTGTAATAACATAATTTAATTTAGTTTATGTAAACTAAAAGTAATAGTGTGTCAAAGTTAACAGACATTTTGCTATAGATATAATAACAACATAAAAGAAAGAAAAAATATACCTGATCTCCAAGCCAATCAGAGCCCTTTACTGTGTCATACATGTGCCAAAGCCAACTATCATCTTCCATGTTACCTAAAATAAATCACTTTTTGCATAAAACCATATAAGAACTTTCTAGATCTTGTTTATATGTAAGCCATAAAATAAATAATAAAAACAAATTACATAAGAGTAAGGCAAGAGGAAAATGAAAGTACCTAATGCAGCATTGATTCCACCCTGTGCAGCAACAGTGTGTGATCTAGTTGGAAATAGTTTTGTCACAACAGCTGTTTTAAAGCCTTCCTGCACAAGACCAAAAGCTGCCCGCAAACCAGCACCACCGGCGCCAATCACCAAAGCATCATGTTGATGATCAATAACATTATATGCTTGAGATGTATTCGTATTTACAGACTCATCTTTAGCAGCCCTAGCACCACCCACCGATAAATGAAGGTTCCTATAAAAGTATGTAGCCTGAAAGTTTAATGTATGTTTAATGTTATGCAATAATCAATTGGTACATATCTCAGTACGACGAAAGTTTAATTAATGACGATATTTAAAAAAAATAAATTCATTAAAGAACGCAAAAAAAAAATATTAAAGTTGCTCCCAAATCGAATAAGAAAATTTGTTAACATTTAAAAGTGTTGGGAAAACTGGTTTGCATTTAATTTTATCAGCTTCCAACCATATCCGAACTCGTAAAAACATTCCAAAATTTGTACCACGTTACATAACAAATGTTTTTTTTATGCTCTGTCCGAGTACTAACCAATGATGCAGGGCTACGGGAGGTAGCCACTTTCAATAAAGCGCTCATGATGGAACTCTCTGTCCGCACCGGAGCACAAAAACACACGTTAAATTTTAGTACAGCACAATAACGCTAGGCATCCACACAACCGGTTGTATTTGTGACAAAAAATTAAAACTGGGTCTGTCTTGCAAATCTGTGTCAATCTGTCAAAGTGCCAACGTCAAACTTCATTTACGATGTGACCACTATTTTTGTTAAAATTCTACTATGCTACTAAAACCAAATATGTTTTGATCTTAGTTTTGGTTGTTTATTTGTCTTTCTTGGATTTCATTCATTGCATATTGGTTTATGTTGATTGGGTTTTTGTGTCTTTTCTTCATAAACTTCCTTGGAAAAAACCACGACAACTACTATAAGGTACAAAATATTCTAAAGTGGCAGCTGTAGGCAAAAAAATTTGAAAGCTGTCAAAGTCAGCCATCAAGCTATTTTTAATGTGTTGAATGAAATGAACACAAATTACCATTATAAACGCCTATAACAGACCTTTAACTATACTTGGTCAATTTGAATTCAAGATAATATGGCTGATAATCCAAGCAGTGATGGATTTTCGGAGGCAGATAGATTGAGAGGTAAACGTATTTTTAGATAATGTTGTGTTCTAATGTGAACTAGTTTCATTGCATAAATGAATTGATGGTTTTTAGAAGATGAATTGGCTCGAGAATTAGAGCACAGTGACTCCAATGAAGACGATTCTCAAGAAATATCTTTAGAAATTGAAGAAAAATTATTAAAAGATGAACCTGAGTGTAAGTACATTGTGCACGATTTATAAATATTATTAGATTATAGTGGTTGAGGTGATAAGTCAAAGCTACCTAATGTCCATAAGTACTTTAAATGCATGCAGTATTGTTTATAATTTTTCCAATTATCCAATTAAAATTTACCAAATTAACTTATATACATTAATCTATAGCAAGAGCTATATTTAATCGTGAATATAATATATATAATTTCTGCAGATACAACATTGGTTAATTATGGAGACAATATCCAAGATTCACAAAGTAACATTGTTGAAAGTTACTCTGAAAATTTACAAAATGTTGATATATCTCATGCCACTGATGAAATGGGCAATAGTATTTATACAGAAAACTCCAATAGTTTCATTACAACACAATCAGATTTGCATGACATCAGCGATCAGTATGAACCTTATATCAATGAATACAATTATGAAACACAACAATCTGAAGATAAACAATATGAAAATGATCATAAATATGATACCAATGATAAAAATAGCGACGGAGTTATGTCCAACATAAATGAATCTCAAAGTGAGAATTTTGACTCACAAACCAATGAAGATTTATTGATTAGTGAGAGGGAGAGGGAAAAGAAAAGTAAAAGGGAGTTGGAAGAAGAGGAGAGAGAGAAAATGCAGTGAGTATATCATTTGTTTAATTGACATTTGTTTGAGTTTACGGAAAATGGAGGCCCTCAATTGTTGAGGCTAAAATACTCTCAGTGCCAACACCAAACAAATATATGTGAGTGTTTTAGCCATTTATATATTACTTTATGGTAATGTCTAACGAAAGTGTAAATAATATAAAAACACCAATGTAATAAACACTCTTTTTCATAAATGGGAATACTTATTTTAGCCGATCTTTTCGTTTTAGAAATAATATTAGAATAATCATTATTTATTGCTTATACTACATATATTTTGTATGGTTTCAGAGTTTTAGTCTCAAATTTTACAGAAGAACAGCTAGATAGGTATGAAATGTACAGACGAGCGGCATTTCCCAAAGCTGCAGTTAAACGTTTGATGCAAACAATTACAGGATGTTCAGTTGGTCAAAATGTTGTGATTGCAATGTCTGGTATTGCTAAAGTATTTGTTGGAGAAGTTGTTGAAGAAGGTAAGAGAATATTTAAATGTATAAAGTATATACAAATCTATAGTTAAATTAGTTGACTTTGCCACCTTTTTAAACTTATTTGGTTAATACAACTTTGATGACATTAAATTAGTGAATTATTGATTATATTGAGCAAAAAAGTAACAATAGGTTGTATTCTAATTTTTAGCTTTAGAAGTTCTTGAGAAGTCCGGTGAGGCTGGGCCGTTGCAACCGAAGCACTTAAGAGAGGCTTTACGTCGACTGAGAGTGCGCGGCGCCATACCTGTGAGGAGAGGTTACAAAAGCACTTTAAGACTTTGATATTTTTAACTGCTCACTCTGTAAATATATTTTCTACATGCATGGAACTACTTGGTTCATTACAGTCATTTTCTTACCAGTTTCCGACACCAAAATCAATGTATAAAACAAATTGTTATCTCCATTTTGTCAAAGATAAACACAGGGTGACAATATGTTTTATATAGAGATTTAGGCCTCAGAATCCCACGGTTTGTCGTCTAGTTTATGTAAATAAATATTAAATAGTGATAAGAAGTTATAAATAAATTTTATACCCTTTAATAGTGAATATTAGGCAAAAATAAAATGGATATATTTTCTGAACGCAAATTTGAATTGTGATGAAACAAATGTTGTCTTCCCAGTGTTGATTTGCAGATACTTTTATTTTATTTAAAAAATATCTGTCAATGAATGGAAAAACATTTTTTTACTTTTATATTTTACCTTTTTGCACCTGCTGTTTTGTTGATGTAGCAACCTTAGTATCCCTGATTAATATCTTTTTAGATATTATTGATTTTGTTTTGGATGCTTCGTCACTGGTTGTGGTTGACTTGTCAATGACAAAATGACCATTCTCTATATAAGTATGTTGAAGCTATTAGTTTGAAAAAAAATGTTGATGTATGATGTATAATATTATTGTATATTTAAGGTATTTAAGTAAAATAAAATGCGGTGTTTTCTTAGAATACTAATCACAAATAAGAATAAAGTTGTTTTTAGGTAAATAAATAAGCTTAAATTTACAGATTTTGTTTTATTTTTAAAAAACAATTATATTAATGTTAATTTCATTTCACAATAAAGACATTAAAACAATACAGGTTAAAGTAAGGTTCATTGATATTCCAAAAATTAAATCAGTCTTGTTAAAATGGCTAAACTATATGCAGACGAGATTTTATTTAGAATTTGTTCGCATGGGTATTAAAATCATAAAATAAAAACAATATCCTTGTTTGTTAACAAGTGCAAAACAAAAATAAAATATAAAAACCTACACAAAAATGTATTAAAAACCAAAATTATTGGCACTTAAGAATAGTTAAAGTCACAATTTCTAAGGAAATACTTGGATAAGTATTAAAACCGAAAAGACCATATATCACAGATGCTTAATTTTTAAAAATGCTGCCGGGAATAGTATGTTATAGAGAAAAAAACTTACTCAAAAGGAATTAGTGTTATCGCCTTAGGAAGAAATACTACACAGTTAAGGCACAACTTTCATATGGTAAACCATATTTCATAAATTTAGAAACAACATATTGTTAAATAGCAAGTAGTAAAAACTACTTATTAATTAAATATGACCTATATTACAATTAAATCAAAGCAGACTCAGCTTTTCGTCGTTAATTGTGAATTTAAATTAAAATCTATATAAATACAAGCATTTTTTGTGCGATTTGCATTGATAAGACAAAATAAAATTACTATTGACGAATTCGTATTCAGATTTTAAATTGTTTAATTCAAACTATCTCAGTTGCTTACCGACTCAAAAATAAACCATCCATAACATGAACTAAAATATTAGCAAACAAATTATAAACCACCAAGTAATAAAAATCGAGTTCGAAAGATTTTAAACTGATATAAAATGAGATTTTTCATCAGCATTTGTTATTATCATTAAATCTTTCACAAATTCGTTTATTACCGATTGATTGAGGGCCAAAATCAATATTCGATCTTGAACCATTTTTGCATCCGCGCTATTTATAATTAATTTGATTCAAATTAACCTACCTAAAGATTGCAATAGCAATCAAAACAGTGATGTACTTAGAGGGTGATTGAATAATTTTTCTATTCCATTTCATAAAGTAATTAAAACAATCAATTTCTGATAAAAGATCGAATTTTGACTTCGGGTGACACCAACTGTTACCCTCGTAAATTCCCGCCACGGTGACGTCACACGTCATAGACTAGAGAACGCTCAGATAGATGTGTCACAGTGCAGTTAGACGAGCAGCCGGCGCACGCCGCACTCGATGCAAAACTTGGCGGAGTCGACGGGGAAGCGGCTACCGCACTCGTGACAGAAGCGCGAGAGGCGGGCGGGCGGCGGCTCAGCGTGCACAGAGGACTCCGACCCACTCGAACTCAACTCCTGCCGCGACCTCCATACCCCACTACGCTGAGACGACGCTCGCGAACTGACACGCTTGTCTATCAAATTTGAAAATACATTCTATAAAATGACTTAAAGTTCAGTCAAAATAATTTTTCATATGTAGTTTGTTTAAGATGTAGTCTGTATAAGATAATAGATGTGTGTGTCTGTAATATATATCAAGCACTAAAACCTTAATAAATATCCATTTATTCTTACCGCTTAACGTGTGACTGCCGAGATCTTTGTATTGTGCATCGATTTTGGGTACTGGCTCGCTCATCTCTGCAGATCGCTCCATAGCGAGGAACTCGTCGCTGGAGATGGACCTGACCTCGTCCTTGTGACTTTCGACCGACTCAGAGCCGGCTTGGCTTCGTTCCGGTGTTGCAGAGTCGGTCGGCTCTTTGGAGTTACACAGCGATAATTTTGATGGAGATATCCTGTTTAAGCTGGAATTAATATATAAACCATTACCTTTATAAATCTTTCTTTTCTTGTTATTAAGTTGAATCAGTAAATTTAAAGAATTGTCACTGTCATTGTAAGCACGGGAAAAATTTAAGAGTATATAATGATTAGTGTTAAAGTGCATTACAAAATTCTAAAGTGTAAACTTTAACTTTACAGTTGTGTACGAATTAATTACCTGACTAACCTGCTATACGCTGAATCGTTGCTGGGTTTTCCTCCAGGGGAGAAATGACCATTCGACATTTGTTCATTTTTATTGTTTTTCTTTTCGATCTTCATTCGGGATTCCTTTTTGGTCGTATTGTGAACATTCTTGGAGCTGCTTATTAACTCTTTATTGGGTTGATTGTTTTCTATTCTCTCCGACTCATAGAATTTATCAAAGTCTTTGAGAGACTGCATTATATCTTGTTCAAGCAGGTCCGCTTTATGGCGGTTCTTCGAGGTGTCCGCCTTGAGTGTGCCTCTCTTCTGTATGGAATCAAGGAGGGATGTGGAGCGTTTGACGGAGGATGGGAAAAGGTTTTCGCCCTTTACATTATTATTGCTAAAAACAAGAGACATCGATTTGTTAACTGGTATCATACCATTATTATTTACGTTTTTGGCAATAGGAGTACTTTCGCCATTTATACTAGAAGTTTTGTGCGTATCGAATATATCAGATTGCTTAACTACCCTAGTTGTAGAACTGTATGTGCGTTTCTTTTCAGTTTTTTGCTTATTAACCTCCTCGTCAAAGGAAGTCATAAACTCTTCTAGATCGAAATCTTCGCAAAGAGATTCATCATCCCTAACGGATGTCTTTGAATTTATACTTTGTTCTAAGGAAGACATAAATTTTTCATATTGTGAATTAAGATCGTTTAAAGATGGTGCATTAGTATTGTTCGTGTTGTTGTTTTTATTAGATCCGTTCTTAATTTGTGCTAAAGATTTTTTATTGTTTTTATCATTAAAATTAAATGAATCAAACTTAGCAGGAAGATTTTCCGTAGTGAGTAATGACTCCATGCTACTGATGATATCTGGATTGTTAAGAATATTGGTAACGTTTATGGGTAAGTTATCGTTTTCATTGATCAGCCTGGGATCTATGTAGTTACTGTCGGTCATAGAAGAGTTATCATATGATAAAATAGAATCAAGGTTAACGAAATTTTTCCTATCTTCGTCATTTTTTATCTTATCAAGTTTAAGAGGTTGTTTTATAGTTGTGCGTTGAAAACTATGATACATCGATGGTGCTATTTTAGGAATTTTATCTTTTAATTTGGGCGAATTGTAATTGGAAGAATAATTAGAAAACGATCTATTTAAATTACTAGTTCTATTAAAATTGGTTCTGTCTGGGGTACTAATATTTTCTTTGCTCGATTTAGTGAATGTTGTGTTTAATTTTTGACTAGAATTTTTATCATTTCTGTTAATTCTAAACGAACTACATCTACCACCGAACGTACTTTTGTTTTCGTTACTGGGACTTCCGAATGATTTCATCCTTTGTAAAGTGGGTGTTTTTTGATAAGTCTTATTAAGTGTATCTTTCATCAATTTAGTATTGTTTGTGAGATGCGAATGTGACATCTTGTCTTTATTAGGGCGAAGGACGGGAAGGGTTTTATTTAGTTCTTTGGTAGAGGTTTGCATTTTTTTAGGAATATTTGTGTCTGATGACATGAGCTCTTTCATTTGTCTAGCTGCAGACGCGAAGGGATCATAATTGTCGTCAAGCCTGTAATGTCAATAATAAAAACATAATCTGTGAGATATATGTGAGGTATGTTTGTGCAGCTTATGCCTAACAAAAGTAATAAAAAAAAACTAAACACTATGATACTTACCTCAATGTTCTAGTTTATGTAACACTACAATATACATCTTACTACTAATATAAAGATGTATTAAATAAATACAGATATACAAAAAATACAAGAACTGAATGGAACAACCTTTTTTTTTCTATTTTAGGTAATTTTAATGGAGGTGCTTCTGAGGAAATTGAATGTGCATCACTATTATCTCCTTGATGTTCATTGACTATAAACGTTTTGTTTTCTATACTATTCCGAGTTTCTTTGTTAAAGCTTTTATATTTTTTACTTGATTTGGTCGTTTTCAACAATTTTCTATGGGATTGTTCTTTTGTCATCAAATTATTTGTTTCAGAGATAGAAGGCAATTTTAATTTGGGTTTAACTTCTTCTAAAGTTTGGATTTCTTCAGCAAATTCTTTTTCATAGAACTTCAGTTCGAAAACTGTGATGTGTTCCATGTCGTGTCTGGTCGTTTTTGTGTCATCACTGTTAACATCAGTCGTCTTAATTAATATGTCTTTTAAGTCACTTTTTAATTCCTCTAATGCATCAGAAAATTCATGCTTGTCAACATTTTGTTGTTGTAAATCTGTTTTATTTAAAGCTTCAATAGAAATTGTGTTGGGTGTATGCAAGCCATCCATATCCTTGTCAAACTTATCTTCTGCAGTTTTACTGTTTATTATTTCATCTGTTATATTAAAAAACTCTTCCAATTCAGTAGGGCCTTCCGTTATCTTCGTATAGGTATCACCACTTCCATGACGACTCATTTCATTATTTGTTGACGGTTGCCGAAAATCTTCAACAGAATCATTAAAAATTTCAGCACTTAGATCATGTTCATTGTTGTTTTCTTCAAATTCTTCGAACGAATTATTTATTTCGTCAAATTTATTTTCAGTTTCTTTATCACGGGATTCTTCATTAGTTGATACAGTCGTTGCGAGGCTATTATTCGAACACTTTTCTGTTTCATGTACATACACAGCGTCTTGTAAATCTGTACTGTTATGAGTTACTTCTTTTAAATCAAGCTGCGATTCACTTATTTCTTTTGATTCCATATCATAAGATATTGCCATTTTTGGGTTTTTATATAAAAGTTCTACCGAAGTATCAGAGATTAGGGAATTTGAATTCTTCTGCATGTTTAGTTCTTTCACATAATATTTTGTTTTTTTCTTTTCCTCTTTGGCTTGTTCTTGGCTGCTATAAATTTTACAAGGAATACTGGGACAAAACAATTCAGTGTTAATACCGATAGACTGACAGTTTTTGTTGTTACTCTTGTTACTTTGAACATCGTCGAGACTGTCCAAACTCATAGTACTTTCTTTAACATTATGCTTTTTGGTCTTTGGCATCTCCGGCTTATCATTTTGTTTCCTTGTTGATGACGGATTTCTTTTATCAACTTTTTGTTTTTGCGCCGAACGCAATGTATCTTTATCGTCTTCTTTGAGACTTCCTAATTCACTTGAATTAGTCGTTGTTTTGTTCAAACGTCTTTTTTGCAAAACAGTTTTCTTTATAACAGGTATTTGACTTTTGCTATCTTCAGTAAGTTTAGGTAATCCGCTTTTTTCTTCAATAATCTTTTCTTTTCTTTCATTATATTTATTAGTGATTTCCTCGAGCTTTTTTAGTTGTTGCTTTTTTTTTACATTTACTCGATTTCTAATGTTACTTGAAGATGGTTTATTGGTTAATATTGGATCGGCGTTACTTTGTAAGGAACATTTGGAATTTCGGGAGTTTCTATGGAAAAGGAAAGGAAGGGTTTCAGTATGCTTTGAATTTTAATCACAAACAAGGAGACAGGAACGCTTAATGCTATTAATTAAATTAAAAAAATAATTTCAAAAAAGTGCAAAAAACCTTCCTTTCCCCTTATTTGCTATAACTATGCATTACAAAAGAAAAAATAAATAAATCAGAAAATACCTAGTACTACTAATGTCTCTCGCGAGTCTCGCCTGTCTCGCCTTAACGTTGGCATCGCCCGAGTTATTCTGAGTTGTTCTTGAATTTCTTATGACAGGCACATGAGGTGCGCTCTCTTCGTGGCAATCGTTACTCGACATTGACTCTGTAATTGAAGTAATTTACATTGTTTATACAGATTGGCAGATGTCTTTTTGAGAGTAACTGATTTTCTATTTACCGGATGCTCTGGTGCGTCCCTGCTTGTAGTCGCCAAACTCTCGCGGCGGCGGGGGCGATATCCCGCGCGAAGAGTCCACTGATGTGGAACGGCTGGCTGTTTTGTCGCGGGATTGCGACGACCTGCATATTTATAAATTGTGGGTATAACAAAGTTAGTGGACATTTTTATAAGAAGAAGAATTAGAAGACTTATCACGTTACGTACATAATAGTAAGTACAAGTAAGTAGTGGTAAGTAAAGTATTGAAAAGAGTGATCCCGAATACAACGGATTTTTACATACGCGTTCAACATATTCAACAATCTGGTTAGGTTACCCATTGAGTAAGCAAAGATATGAGATGATGCAATTGTTTTGTCTTCATAAAGTACATAGGTATAAGGTAACTGAATCAATTTTATCAACCAGGTGATGTTTGTAAATACGTTAAGAATTGCTTGTGGGTGTATACTGACTTTCTGCCGCGGGCGAGAGGCGCCTTGTACTGTGTGCGGGCGTTAAGGCGCTGCTTGGCATCGGCGATGTGCGGAGGCGGCGGCGCAGCGGCGGCAGCGGGCAGGATCTTCGCCTTGTCCGCACACCATTCCACGTGCCGCTCGAACGCGCGCACGCCGAATGCTCGGGAACAGTGCGGGCACCGCTGTAGCTCCGCTGTTGGCTGTAATGTTAGTAGTAGATAGAATCGAAGAGAAAATCGCGTTTTCAGTCTGTTGTACTAGTTACAATACCATTAGGCAGCAAGTAATATTAAAAGACCACAATATCCATAAAATTTAAATAACATCATGTAATCTAGGAAAAGATGGGTAGCTTTTTTACTTTTAAATCTGCACGCAAATCTGAAGTTAGTTACTTAAGTATTGCAAAATAGTGCAGGTTGTACAAGTATTGTATCACGACTTGACAAAAACAAAGAATATAACAATCTACTTGTAACTCAATCAAGCATTTTTCGCTATCTAATTCATTTGAATGAAGCCAGTTCTTCCTTCTTCGTAACAAAGGTGTACGAACTCTTTATCAATGTAGTCATTCTGCATTGGAGCGTAGAGAATATTTTAGCAAGTCAAAGGCGGGACACGAGACTGTCAGCTAATAAGTACAAATTAACATTAAAATGTTCGCTGGGATACATTAGCGAGTATGTTCGCGTTCGTGACATGAAAATCACTTTCACGACGATTCCTTACTGTCATGTAAATGGGACACTAATGCCTTCATTTGTCGTCTTTTGCTTATAAAGAAAAATATTAACATCATATTGTTGGCCAACATCTTTTTACCTATGTAACTGGACACTTAAAATTCATTTACTGTAGCACAAATGTCAAAGACGAATTTAAAAAGAAGTGCCCCAATTAAACTGGCCGAATGTAGTTGACGTGCGGAAGCATCGGGAGAGTTTGATCACGAGTAGACTGCTCTAGTATTTATTATCTAGATCGCATCTTCACTGACTAGAATCTGGTAATGGAGAAAGTTTTAAGCTTCATATCTAAAATAACTTAGATATTGATTTTTTTATTTTACTTTGTAAAAAAAAAACATAATGAAGAGAATTAGATATTATCAAAAATATTACAGTTCTACAATATTATTAAGATATTATGTATGTACCTTTTTTATTGTGCTCCTTACTGACTGAGGTTTGGGTTTGGGCGTCGGCTTGGCTGTGTTCGGCGGGCTCTTCTCGAGGAAGGGGCTGTTCTCTGGAAGACCGAAATTCTTTGGCAAGTACTGTTCCAAATCTGTGCCTGGAATATCGCACAATCTTATACAGTACGTTACAAAATAAATAAATATATAATTATATGATATATTTTATCAAAAATATATTTTCCTCTACATTTCTTGATTGTGAATATTTCACGATAGCTGTGCTGGTCGTTTGTATTTAAATCCACATTCATATCTCCCAAATACAAGTTATTTAAGCTAAATAACTTTCGTATTGAAGGTAATTAAGCAAAAAGTTATTATGATAAATAATTCTTAGGTAAATTTTATAATAATCCATAAGTGTCTTGAAACCCGCAAAGTAACTAAAAGTTGTTTAGTAAATGATAAGAAATAATGAAAAGTAATGTTTTGGTTCAATATATTATTTGATTACATTCATGTCAAATAAAAAGTCGAAATAAATTCACAATCAAAAAATGAAAGAAATCAATACGTACAAAGGATTAGGCGCAAAGCCAAATGATTGCCAAATGCGGTAAGCCAATCTTAGACCACAACCACAATCCACAGATTCAAAACAGTACTCCTAAATATTGCAATAATGACCTGTACGCAATGTTTGTGCAATTATTTCTCGAAGTGTTGGTTGCATTTTGGCATACAATGCTATTTTTCGTAGTTAACTGTAAACTATTGCGGTATTACCTCGATATATTTAAGACTAAATGCACTAAGACTAAAGCGAACTGAACTATAAGCGACACACCCAAGGCACGGCTCGAGACAAACAATCCATGCATTTAATATGATTTAATAAACATGAATCATCGTTTTATTTCGAATCTTGAACCAGTATTTCTCAAACTTTACTGCCTACAAATTTGATTTTTGTTTTAATCATTTCTAACAAGTAAAAGTTAAAAATAGGTAATGAAGGTTGGCCACAAGATTATGCGAGTTGCCATATTATAATCTTATATCTTTAAATGAGCAATTCTTGTATATATAATTGGAATCTCGGAATCGGCTCCAACGATTTTCATAAAATTTAGTATATAGGGGGTTTCGGGGGCGATAAATCGATCTAGCTAGGAATAATTTTTAGAAAATGTCATTTTATTCGTGTTTTATCGATAATCAACTTAAACATAAACTTAACTTTTTCTATCGGTAAGATCGAAAAATATTATTTATATTTCATCATTTTATTAGTAATTCGTACTTAAATATAATTTCCAAAAAACACAATTTAAAAAAAAACCAAGCAAAGCTCGGTCATCCAGGTACAGTCAGCGTCATATAGATCGTAACAGACAAGATATGCAAATATATAGGTACATCAAAAGTAATCAATTATATCGGTACAACAAAAGTCCTGAAAATAATAGATACATTCACCCTGCCCAAATACATCGGTACATACACAGCGTCAAATATATGAGTACATGCAAGATGCTCATAAATATCGTAGCAGCCACAGCGTCATAAGTAACGAAGCAGTCAAGGTGCGCAAAAATATCGGTACATTTGACAAAATTGAAATCTATCTCTATATACTTGTGATACAATTTGGAATAAACTACTTCTGTTGCATTCATTTGACACTTTGTATTAACATTATAGGTTGTCCGGAAAGTTCGTTCTGATTTTCGATATAAAGCTTACAATAGACTGTAGCTGAAGTGGATTCATTTTCGGATTTCCACCATTATCAAACGTCACGAAAATTTCTATATTGTGAATAATTTCATTTCATTGGTTGAGATAAAAACTAATTTTTAAAATTTTATCCAATAATAAAAGACGTTTTAGGTATAGAGTCGTACCAATGTAATTTAAAAACATTTTCAAAAATTTAAGAGAACAGGGTTTCAATTTTCTTTATAAAGCGGCACGAACTTACTGGGCAACCCAATATTTTTCTTCTCCTGTCATAACGCTTAAATATAAAAGTTTGTCACGCCGAATATGACAGATACGTAATAACTAATATCAAATTTTGCCTTGTCACAATATATACAAGTTTGGCGCAGTATTCTAGTATGTTTGCCGTAATATGTAAGTATACCGGTTCGAATCTCAGGCTACTTTTTTTTTCATTTTGTCAATCACGGGGTTATTTTTTCATAACCAGTAAAAATTTGGTAATGTAAAATTTTGCTCGACATTTTTTTTTTATAATTTTCGCTGTCGGGTAGAAAGAAATTTAAATAACGTTAACAACAATTAGGTCAGACCATCGCGGGTGAAGTGAGTGGGCGGAGCGTGGATTGTCTTTGCGGGTTTTAAGAATGGTCCGCGCGGAAACTATACGTACAAGTGTTATCTACATATGTGTGCGCGCCCACGCACACTGGAATGCTTATTGCAATCGACCAAAAATTTGATGTAGTTTGGATATTGACATTCAGTTTTTTTGTCTTTCTTTCTTAAATATAATCAGTATCAGTAAATGGTAAAGGTAAAAGTGTTATTTTTACCGGAACAAGTTTAATAAACACGAGTAATAAACAAATTACATGCCAATAGCATCGCTTTATCTCCTTCATTTTTGTTTGAAATAGAAAAGTACTTTAACGGTCAAACTCATTAGTCCAAAGCAATATCAAAAAGTACCTAATAACTACGGCGATAAAGTTGAATTACATGTGCTTCGATATTAAAATTAAAAAGTTTAAATATAAAAAAAAAATAGTGGCTTGGGATTTGAACCGCCGACCTTACGTACCAACGGCGGCGAACGGTAAGGCCACGAGACCAAACTAGCATATATGATGACAAACTTAAATTTGATGTTGGTTTTATCTACCTAATATCTGTCATCCGCGTCGAACACTTTTAGTAAATTTTGAAAAATGGTTTGATGCAAAATGTCAAATGAATAGTAACAGAAGTAGTTTATTCCAAATTGTATCACAAGTATATAGAGATAGAGTTCAATTTTGTCAAATGTACCGATATTTTTGCGCACCTTGACTGCTTCGTTACTTATGACGCTGTGGCTGCTACGATATTTATGAGCATCTTGCATGTACTCATATATTTGACGCTGTGTATGTACCGATGTTTTTGAGCAGGGTGAATGTATCTATTATTTTGAGGACTTTTGTTGTACCGATATAATTGATTACTTTTGATGTACCTATATATTTGCATATCTTGTCTGTGACGATCTATATGACGCTGACTGTACTTTGTTATAATACGAAAAGATATAGATTTTAAAGGAAAGTCTTTAAAAACGTAAACAAATATTTCATGTCAATGACCATTATTAGAACTCAAAGAGCTATAAGGGGAGATTACTTTTCTGTTCGATTGATTTTTATGTATAGTCGAAGACAGCATTTCTGATTGAAAGATTGAGAATCATGTACGTGGAACTATGATGGGTTATGGTAGGCGATTGTTAGCAAACATAGCGTAGGAACAAATATATTATGCAAACATGGGCCTCGTTTTGTTCAACTTAGAACATACAATCGTGCTGTTTACGGCTACAACCATTTTCTTTGTTTTCAGACTGTTCTTTATGCTTTTAGTAAAATCTTAAATACACAGTAATACTATTTTAAAGTTACCTATTCACCTCCTTGGGTCCTTGAAAAGACATTTTAGATTTGTTCTGTATGGGTTAAGCTCTAGTTTAAGTGTGTCCCAGAGAACCAAATTATGGCTCTATCGATAACTTCTATTGCATTATTCAATATACAACGTAATCATTATGTTACAAAGATGAATATCATTAGTTTATCACAATTGGAACGTGAAGAATATTACCCAATACAATTTGCAATGAAATGAAATATTACTATACTGTATGGTTTTAGTTATTAATGTACTTCACGTAAGTAGGGTACTTCGCAGTTATCTTATAAATTCTAATGTTATTCAAAGTCAGCACTGATTCTCATTACATCGATGATAGGTGTTAGTAAAATGTCCGCATACAATGCGCGGTGTCACCGTTACATTGGTGTGGTTGTGGCAGGCAATGAGGCAATGACATGTAAATGGTTCACCCACTCACCGGAACTGGGATGGCTCGTTGTTGCTAACCCTTTTTATCCACAGAAAATATACACGTTTATAAATATATATTGAAAAATAGAAAGAACATAGCAAAATATTAGTATGTTTTGAATTAAACATAAAAGAAATATTTCTCACACAAAGGACACAATTAGTATGTAATTCCATCTTAATAATACACCAACAAGCAAACTACAATATATAGGAAAAATCAAAACAATCAAATTACCTTCACGTCTCTGCCTCGATGAGTCGAAGGTCTTTCGCTTCTTAGCCATGGTCTTTTCGCAAATTTTCACATGTTTGGCGAGAGACTGTGGCACGAAGGTGCGGGCGCAAACGGGGCAGGGCATGAGAGGCAGCGGGCCTGCAGGCTGTGGCGCCACAGGGGCCACGGGGCTGGTGGGCACCGGTGGTGAAGGCGGTGGCCCCACATGGCTCGGCGGGGGCGTTCTCAGCAGCGGCCGGTACGACTCGCACGGGGAACTGTCCCCCGCCGGCTCTGGGGATGCGGAACGAGACGACTTTGCTGATACTTCTTCTTGTTTCCGTTTACCTGAAAATAAATCATGAGACTTAATGACATTTTTAGGTTAATTGTAATAAAAGAGATTTCCCATTGTAAAGGAATTATTTACAAATGAGATAATACACGGTATCGTAAACAGTTTTATAATTGAACAATATCGTGAGAGAAAGTGAGGGAAATGAAATTATAAAATGTAATTACAATTTTCTTAAACTGTTAATCAACTGAACTGATGATATCGAAATAGAAAGGTTGTATTAAAAATAGAAATTCTCACGACTTCCGACACATGATGATCGTTAGGTAAAATGCAGCAACACTTTTACTATCCCTGACTCAAATTACTCATCTCTTTCACTATTCGAAGCGATCAAATTACATAGAATTTGTTATGTAGTAAGTATAACGTTACATTGTTATAAAAAGGGTTGTAAATCGAACTAAATAAAGTATAATACTATATCAATTTACAACTTATATATCCAAAGGGATGATTAAATGCCAAATGATGTAAAGCAAGACATAATTTATTAACCTGATACAATAATTATCGTTATTTCGTCTATCCCAATTCCTTTACTTACCGTCAGTTCATATGAAAAAAGCAATGAAATTTATAAAAACAACGCGATTCTAAGCACAATAACATAATTCCAAGGGCGCGTTGAAGGTAAACATGACGCAAGCCGCAACCATCGATTAGGCAAATTACTATTATAACACGCAACAAGTACACCACTAAATACATATATGTAACCTATCAGACAACTTCCAGACAAGAATTTTGAAAACACACACATCAAAAAAAAAAACATCTTATTCCGAACTAAAACAAGGGGCTAGATGTAAAAGCACAATTGTACAGAAAGACATTGCAAGCCCGAATATATTTTGTATTTAAGTAATTATTTGTATTTATATTGTTAATAAAAGTATAACATTTATGTACTTACAATAGCAACAAAGAAGGCGTAAAGTTAAATTAAACATAACACTGTCTTTAAATTATTATTTTCGATTATCACGCTTATTGATATTCCGATTTATCACAAGGCGTCGAGCGACCGATTCCCCACATTTAACGTATTCGTGAACTACAAAGAAAACCGGTTTCATTCACTACACTAGGTAATTAAATATAACTTATGTATCTTGTATAAATGCATGTGTTTAATGTTTCAAGCTAAAACTTGTAATATGACCTTGACTTCATAAACGAATGCGCAGTAATCAATTGTCATTTATTTTAATTAGGCGGTGATTAAAAATTGTTATTAAGAGGGTATTTAGTAAATTAAAGACGTAAAAGTTTATCATACAAATAGGGTTGTGATTGCTGTAGCGAAAATAACGGTTTTTAAAATATTGAAAAAACTAATTTTAATATTGATGCTTAAAGAATTCTCTTCCAGATGCGCTTATAACATATAAACGCAATACAGCGCCTGCCTTAATATCTGTAAATGCAACCACAAATAGGATAATCTGTCAAATTATTGGCAAATATTCTGTGCTAGAAACCGAAATTGTTTGTAGACAGTTTTAAAATTCCATGTCAGTAAAGCCTATCATCACCAATTTTAGCCTTTCCGAGAACATATTGGCCGTTCCCAACACAAAAGATGTCTTCGTTATGCCGTGCACGTTGAGTAAACGCGTGCTATGAACGTAAATTGCTACAAGTTTTATTTAACAGTGGTTAACAAGCGAGCCGATGTCTGTCGGCTGCCTACATCAAAGAGCTGAGTGCAAGTAATAAGCGGGGAGAGAACAGGGTTGTAGTTATTAATGGCGTTAACGATGTGTCTACAGCCGACTCGAACGTTAAGGATATCCTTGTCCAAATTACGATACGTTTTTATGTTCGGTTTTAACTTTTGTCTCAACTTTCACGCTTGGATATAATTAAGTGGTCGTTTAAAAAATCCATCGGCTTAAGTTTGTTATGGTATAAAGAATAAATAATAACACGTTTCTTGTGACAAGTTAACTAAGAGAAAATTTATCACAAGAAGGACTAAAAAGTTTTGCTATTAGACCTGGTGTGGTTTTAACATTTCTAGAAAGTTTTCAGATTTTCTCGAACTAGTAAAGAACAAGTATCGATAGAAATCCACAAAAAATTGGAAGCGACGCTTTTATTTTATAAAAATAAAATAAACTACACCTACTTTGTATATATTCTGGACTGATGAATACGTGCAGTTTAAAAGCAATTTGCACCAAATAAGATAGACTACCGTTTTGGATCGTTATAGGGTAATAAATAAACTGTTTAGTTTACCGTTTATGACTTGTTCTGTACTAAAGATATTTTTTAATTGCAGCCGCAAGCCAGACGCGTCCTAAATATCTTCCATTGAGATCATATCACGAGTAACTGACTATCGGATTATTATAGCTATTTGCTTGATACATTTATACACAACACAATAATTTGTATACGAATTTAATCACAGGTTTTTTTTAATAATTACAATAAATATTTAACGTAAGCTTTAAAATAAATTGTTGCTAAATAAATAAGTGGCACCTATATAACCACGTAATTTATATACAAAGCTAACGTGAGGGATATTGTCCAGGAAATATTAGAAACATAAGGGTGGAAAGCGTACAAGGCATCGCCTGGTACAGTTAAAGAAAAACACCCTACGAAAAGCGAAATATTTTGTGAATAATAGCGTAAGGTATAAAATAAACAAATGTAGTATCGAATATCGAAATATTGCCATCTTCATTTTCACCAAAAAAAAAACAAAGATAACTACAGTTTTAGTAAGTGAAAAATTGCGGTTAAAATAATAATCAAGCACGCCCTAGGACTATCCAAAAGGTATCGTAATCATAATAAAAGCCAGCGTAAAAACAAGCATTAAAAAGTTTTTTTTACATACTATTGTCCTTCATGCGGTAGTGAACATACGATATGTTTTTGTTTACATGTTAGGGTCAGAGTCCTACAAATACGTGACGTAGATAATATTGATGTGATAGTCTTCCTTAGGGACGTTCCGTCTATTAATATTCCCCGAGTGCATACAAACGGATAGAGGCAACGGAAGAGTCAAACTAATGCGCGCTGATGTATTTCTGTCAACACCTGTTAATTGTTGGCTTGCCTAACTTTTTATTTATACAACTTTGGAACTAATTAATTTAAGAATACAGTTTAAATTACTTAATACAATAGTGAATAACTGCGTGAGATTTACTTTTTTGGAAATCTTACAGATTTTTTTTAAATATTTTTTATCTGCAGTACGATTTCTTAGTTAAGTAATATTTGTAGCTCATAAAAGAAAGTTATGATTGGTATAATAAAGATAAATAAATGCTGGTAAGATCAGAACAAATTGTAAAAAAATAATCATTCATTTGTTTCAGTTCAAGAAATGTCTGATAACATTACTATCGCTATGGTTTATGACTTTGTTGTGTTGTTATATTATTTTTAAATGAAGACTAATTTTATTTATTGCCAATTATCAACATTGCAAAATACATTTATATTAGTAAAAGGTTCATCATAAATTACAGAATATCATGTAAACATTGATTCGTCGTTTCTCATGTACCTAGAAATATTTCGAATTAAATACTTTTATAGATTGATAACATTATATACTACTAGCTGTCGCCCACGACTCCGTCTGCGTGAACATATAAAATAAAAAGCAGCTTTTCAAGGCATAAATTCTAAAAAAAAAACATAGGAATAAATAGTATCCTATGTCCGTCTCCTGGCTCTAAGCTACCTCCTCACCAATTTTCAACCATATCGGTAAAGCCGTTCATGAGTTATATATCAAGAATAACTTATTATTGAACAATTTGATGTTTGTTTCTCACACAATGATGACAACAAAATAATCATTAAGCACGACTAATCAGGGAATCTAATCAGGAAAGTCTTGAGACATCACAGCAATAGTAACGGTAAAGTTTTTATAAAGCAGCAGCAGAAAGCGCGTCAATAATAAAAATAGTAATTAAACAATATAAAATGCGCGAAGAGTCAATAAAGCACAAAATTAGTTCCTGTTCCCGAGACAACGGCGTGACAACGCGCTGAGTGAGCGCTCAGTTTTTGTTATAATCCAATGTTCTCAATTCTCGATGCGAACATCACGAATATACGAAGAGGAATTGGTAATTTTAGAAATATCTATCAGCGGCAATAACTTTCGATAAGTCACGTGATTGTCGCGCATCAGTTCCATACGTTTTTAAGTTCGCAATTGAATCGTTTCGGAGCGAATGAACCTTATCTAACCCCCCAGAATCGTCAAATATTGTGCGAAGATTTAAATATTATTTAAGGTTTAAAAGCTTGAAGTGAAGATTATTTCATCAGCCATAATATTATAATAAAATTTAATACGTAATCTGTAACAGTGAAAAATAAAAACATAAAAATTTATAAATTCACCACTATAATAGGTAGATACGAGGACCGCAACATTTGTGACGACCTGGATTTTAAAACTAAAGAAAGTGACCGCGAGATATCACATGATACATTACACGATTCATAAAACAATGTCAGGCGCTTTCTGCAAAAGGTTAACATTTAAAATGGCCGCGCAATCCGTGGGAACGGGCAAGCGATGTCTGCTAACTGCGAGACTGAGCGTTCCTCCTTCACACCTCTTACGTATATAAAGGTCAGTAAATTAGTGAGATAACGTGAGAACAACGGATAATGTTACACGTACCAACTGATCTGTAGATTACTTTCAATGTAATCTATTATATAGATACATTGTTTATGAACTTTTAACTTAACCAAAATGTTGAAGTTAAGCATGTAAACATAAGTTATATAATGTGTTACTTTAACATATATTTAAGCAACAACTTGCTTTTTAAGACTCTAAAAATGTAGTCTAAAGGTGTGACTTTAGTTTTAAAAAACTTTTATAACCTTTACTAACCTATACGTTATTTTAATTTGTTGATTTTGAAGATTCGGCCACCTGTTTCATTCATATATTTAATATAATTATATTTAAATCTGTAGAAAAAGATGTAACTGCGCTTGCGCATATTTCTTGTAGGAACAACACTATAGTGTTTGATGGTGCATTGAGTGTCAATGTGTGTACATTTTAATTTACGGTTTAATTCTAACGGTATTTTTACATACAGTGTGCTGAGGACAGCTTTATAAAGTCGTACATTTCTTCCACGGTTTTGTAAATTAAATTATGAAACAGCAATTATTCTACTCGTTTAGAATCAATTATCGTAATAACTTTGATCTTTATATCGACCGTCAAAATTTCACGCGAATTCGTCGCACCCAAATCTATTGCAAAATACGTCATTAACCTTGCCAACGTGTCGATATATCTCGTTCCTAAACAATTGTCGATAACACTAAAAATTTGCTTTAAATAGTTCACATGCTGAAGAAAATTAAGTTAATATTAAATCTTGTTGATGAACGAAATTATTAAAAATTAATTAACTAATATAAAAATAAAAAGAAAGTAAATCTGTTAAAAATACTGATGAAAATTACAATGTTTATGTGAAATTGCGCGCTCGTCTCTCACTGAATGCTATGTAAAAACGAGAAAATTGTTTGATTGTTTACAGTTTACACAAGTGTTACGTAAGCAAACAAACCATTGTCTATTTTTACGAATTTATTCACAATCACTTAACCATGGCTGGTAAATAACAGATAAATAGTAGGCAATCTCTTTGGATCTTTATGATGATGAGATTAGTCAAAGAGAAAATAATAAGAATATTTATTCTCTTTCTATCTTACTAATATTATAAATGCGAATGTTTGGATGGACGACTGGATGTCTGTTAGATAGTATATCCAAAAGGCTTAACGGATCTTGGTAAAATTTTTTATAGATGTACAACATAGTCTGGAGAAACACATAGGATACAAATTAAGTTTTTTTTTAATATCGCGCGGACAGAGCCCTGGACGACAGCTAGTAACATGATAAAATAGCTTGTTACTTAGATGTAATTTTTCCTAAGTGAAACTATTTATTCATAAAATATGCCAAATTGTAACATGGTATAGCACGTTAGTGGACCTTGACGTATTCATATTATACGCTTAAGCATTTTGCTTCGTAGAAAACGTTCGCTGCAGTTTCTATTGACGATATAGTCATGCAGTACGTAAATAGTTCTTAAGCTTTGAACTCTATTGCAAGAGCTATAGTTTCCATTGTTAAGTGCAAATGCACCCGACTGTGTGCGAATCGATTGAGATAAGCAAACAATGTGACGAGCTCAACACTCTGACACTTGACCTGGATATGTCTCTGGGATTATAGATGTTATATGAAAATACATACTATATTGTCAACAATTTTATCATGCATATCATATCATCAAATAGAAATTTTTAAGATTTATTTTAAGAGCTTGAAAAACGAATGAAAATGGTGGGAAGTCACGAATAATTTCTCACATTTCTCTGATTTTGATACACTCTACTTAATGTCACAAGACATAGATTGAAAAGGCCTACATGAAAAACCTATTTAGATTAATACCCAACCTTTGCGAGGTTTTTTTGAAAATAATCATTAAACCAGAACGCAACTCGGTCTATTAAAAAGGAAAAATAACGAATAATTTTCTTCTCTGCAACTAGATTGAAGTTAAACTATTAGAATTTCGACAAGTTGAAGGAAGATGTAGTACCTATCGAGAAAGTCAACAATACCATGAGAAATGTGTAATAAAAAAAGTAAAGTGCACAACATTAGAGTTGTGAGGGCACGCGAGGATAATAAACCTGGAGGCATGATGTACAAATGTCTCGCACTATCACGAGCCTGTCCGATTCCCACGCGCAAACAAACCCGGGTACTTTACCGTTTTAGGGTTGTCAAATAGAGGAACCAGTTCCGACATATATAACGAAAAGTCACATCTCTTAAGATATGAGGTATCTTCAAGGTGATCCATCAAGATGTAACTCTTTTCGCCGTATGTGTCGGTTTTATTCCCTTTTAGAACGCTACTTTTCACATATAACAGCAGAATGTCAAAGGTGATATTGCAAAGAGGTTATCGTATTATTAAACAAACATATGGCTAGATCTACAGTTTTATAATATAAATGCTATTTAATAGGGTAAGCTCGATGCAAGCCAACTGAAAACTAAACTTTCCATTTTTAACGATAATCAAATATGTAGGCAAGATATATTATTATGGTTAATTTTGAAATGTTACCATACGTGTAACTTTTCTTTTAACTATATTTATTTAAAAATAGTCGACTGCATCGGCAACCCTATTTCATCTGGTAAGTACCAAACTAGGACGCGTCGTCAACATGACATTTTTGTTTATATTAACAGCAGCGAACTGGGTAAAATTACAAAACGTTTGTTAGGCGTTAGATATTAGGTACTAGTGCTACTTATCGCAACTTTTCGAATTTATTCGACGTGATTTTCGACGTGAACCCTATTTAAAAACAAAGTGCGAACGTAACAAAGATTAAGAAAATATAATATTATATGTAAAATTTTACTTATTTCAAATAGCTAGGAATTGAGTAAATATCTTGTTACAACCACACGCAATTGTTTATTCATCAATTACCATTCGAAAGTAACCGTTAACTGGTAAATAATGTAAAATATTCAAAGGTCTTTTTTTTAATTAACAGATTGTAATATTGCATTCCTTACCATTTTTACGCGTTACACAGAAACAGGACAACATTTTATTTGAGCACTTACAGCATCACAATGTATTAAACATGTGTAACTTTCAGCACAATAACTTCAACACTGAACGTAGAACAATATGCGTGTACTGCACAGGTTTCTGATATCGGCCTCAAACTAGGGCTGTCATCTCTTCGATTTTGATCCGAATTCTTTCGGTTTTTTTATAGTGCGTATCTTCAGGTCAAAGTGCGTGGTGTGGAACAAGTCTGTCAAGGCTGTCGATCTTTTTTTTTTTGTTGTCCGAAAAGAATTGATTTTGACAATTGTGCGATACTTGTTTTTTTTATTTACTGCCAGTTATCGGGTTTACATTTATATAATTTTGGCAGCCCTACTTGAGACACACACGTGCTTATCAGTTGGCTTGTACATGTGTGTAACCATAGTAAATATTCGTAAGTTAAAAGAGTACACTTTGCATACGAAATTTACGCTAACCACTTCAAGGGCATGCGACAAAATGACAGGAATGGACAATTACTATGACGCCTTGCTAACGAATCGCGACCTTTTTGAGCAGAAATTGATGATCGAAAAAAACGAAAAAGAACGTGTTTTTCCTTATGCTTGAACATCGATTTGCTCTTACAGTAATGGAAATCAAACTAAGCTAATGCTAATACACAAACGTGCTTGATATGACTGGGATTTTTCCACAGATAAACACGAAAAATGTGCACATTTTTGTTACATAAGTTACATTTTGTTCTAAAGATTTGACACTGAAATATGCATTAGTGGTTATTTTAACACTGACCGAGTTATTTAAATTAAAACTTGGATAAAATTAGTTTCATGGATTTCATAGCGTTTAATTAAAAATGATTAAAATTCCATTATTATGGTTCCCAAGTCATAGTCAAGAGTAAAATTAAAGTGAAAATTGGATCAAACGTAAATATATATTTTAATAATACATTACCTAAGAAATTAACTATAATAATTTAATTCAATCATAATTTTATTTATCAACCAACGGAAGCGAAGTAAGCGGCGTGAAAAATTATGGAGATAGGGAACATCCTAGTGGGCTATAAATAAATTTATTGGTCCTTTTTAAAATCACTTCAAATGGTGCTTGATATTAAAATACGAAGCAGCTGTGTGTCTCGATCGGGGAGTGTGCTACTGTTGAAAGAAAAAAATCTCCAACAGCTGCATATTGCGTGAAGATATGCAATTGAATAGCATTCCAATGAGAAATACGATGGCTTAAATCAACCGCGAATAATAGACGTGGATTTAATACCTTTTTAGTAATAAAGATTTAAAATGACGATTTCAATTTTAACTTATTGACGTTATTATGAATGACTAGAAATTCTTCCTCTATTTGTTTTGTATCATATATTATTAAAACGATAACTTAAAATATTATTGTTTTTTGATTCATTATTCTTAAACTTTAAACGGTCAGCTAATTGGGTAGGATTTAAGCTTTATATTCGCAAAAAACTATTATTGTCATAGACGCGGTAAATTACACAAACACTTTTTTATTTATATTTTCTTTCGGACAGCATAAGAAATTTTCGGATAAAAAATGTCAATATATTTGTTTCCTTTTTTACTGTATTCAATAACATAATGTTTACTTTGGTTTCTTTGATCACGTTATTTTAGTTGCGTAAAAAACTTATAACAATTAAACAACTTATGAATTTATCAATAAACCACCCTGAGAGCCTAATTGTTATATTATATTAATTGCTGATTATTCCTGAAGGAAAGTGAAAAAAGAAGATTAGCCTATTCAAAAAGCTTACGAAAACAATACCGCTTATTACAAAGGCCATAAATATATTTCATGTAAGAAACGTGAAAGAATTCGTCAACTAACCATTGTTTATGGTACTAAAAGGGAACCATACACAATAATGTTTTTTGATCTGGATGAAATTAATTTGATTATTATTATAAGAGCCGCTTACCTTTCTTGGAACCAAACAACGATTTTAGCTTCGATATCGTTCGTTTCTTCATCTTATTGGTAGAGCAAACACGGAATCACTAAGCGGTTGTATACATCGGCCCACAACAGACAGAAATACACTCAACACAACGTCCTCAAGTTTTTCAAGCAGACATAGCTTTTTGCTCCTTTTGCCGCTCTTATTTCCGTGCTACGAAAATAGGCCCAGCGTTACACTTATACCGGCGCTGGCGCATCAGTCATATACACATTATGTTTCAAATTAGATCACTAGGTTTATAATTAAAAAAACACTTTATGCTATCAACTAAGCGGGATACGTTTACACTGGTGTAGCATGCTAATATTACTAAACACCTTATCTCGTTCGACACTTCGCTTATCACTGATATCACATGTCAGTGCTCGTTACGATAAAAAAAGTTAAATAAGTTAAAGCACACAAACGATCAAAACACACGAGTCGCCGACACAAGCGCTGCTATAAAACTGGACCGGAGTTCAAATGGATAACAAAATTAGGAAATTAATAAATTTGAGCGTACCGGTCGCCACGAATTTAGATGACGTACGAGATGCGATTACACAATTCCATGAGCGTTTATGTAGTAACAGTTCACGAAGTAAACGAGCCTCGACGAGCGGGAAGCGCTTGCGGCTATTCTAGTGCATGTTGTGGACGCAACTGAGTAGGGTACGCACTACGCACGGAGCGACACACGAGCGACGCACGAGTCGCTACACGCGGTCCATCCGTACACATTGGCCTGTTACAAAAATCGTTATAAAACCACGAACCCTCTTCCGTTAACAGAATCCCGTTTCCGTGCGAGCGCGATCAAGCGGCGAAATAGAATGGACTTGAACGCGATACATAGAAGCCAGTTTAACTGACGAGTCGGCGACCGTGGTGACAACACCGGAGGCGATATATCCGTTGCACTTTAAAAATGTACTCTGGACGAGTGCTAGTCAGGAAACTTTTGGGAAGAATCTCGATCGGGATAATGGACCGCGCATAAATCAAAGGGTGCGAAGGGTACACACAGATGCAAGGGTGAGCGTGAGCGAGTAGGGCAAAAAATCAAAAGGAATGTTTAACGATTTTTGCGTCAATTATATTTGAGATATTCTCACGGCTTATTTGTGGTTCACAGCTTAGTGTTAATTATTCAACAGGACTAATTCCTACTTAGTATCTAACAACCAAAACATGTTAAGTAAGCCTCAATTACGATTCACAGTTATATTATTGTAATTTCAAAACATTTTTGTACTTAAGTTGCAAATAGCTCAAAAACATTCGTACAAAATTTTTAAGAGCGAACACGACACTGCTGTTAAACTTTTGTATGTATTCTAGTGTTGTCCAATCGATAAGCTAACACATTAAACTATTGCAAATGTGTAATGGAAACATCGTCGTTTTGTAACAAATTAAACGAGCAAAACAAATAGCCAATCTCTTTGTGTCAGGGTCGAGAGCAAACTTATAGAAATAAATTAATTTTCATTAGTTGATGAGCAAGATTTAAATTCGAAAACGGTAACCTATGGTTTAAATTGCGCTAAATCCGTACCGAAACTTTAAATCACAAACAAAAACATGTAAAAAAGATGAATGTTCGTTATACATCGATTAATACGTGTCTAAATATAAAAGGATATAAAGAAAGTTTGTGTTACTAGCCCAGCGTGTATAGCTTCATTAACCATTGTCTCGGTGTAATTCATAGGTGTGAAAGAGAGAGCATATCAATTCATCCAATTTCTATGGGCAGCATCAAAAGCGATGGCCTGGGACGAACCGCTGCGTTACACTTCACTGAGTACAATGTCTACACACACATAGAGGTCTCGGGTTTCTATCTGGAGGAATTTTAAAATCAAATATTACATATTTAAAGTACTATAAGCGCATATTGAGAAAATTAAAGGGTGAATTTTTATTAAACAACGAATGCTGTCGAAAATGAATGTTGTAATATTATTAAAAAAAACTATTAAAGTTATGGTGTAGCAGATACGTAAACATATTTTACAAATATTACATATTCAAATAACACAACACTATTCACTACAGGTAACGCCAATAATGCACGTAGATATTTTCGCATTTGCCTGATTTTCTCGATCGCTTATTAACCAGCGGCGTTTGTATATTCTTTGGTTTTTTTTATTGCCAATCTATCGGTATAAATACCTCTATGAAACTGATAATATTTCTTAAAAAAAGTAGTCTATTATACTCATTATGTTACTAAGAAAGAGTACTCTACTTACATCGTGACTTCGAAATCAGATAATGCTATACCAAATCGTGTCTCTTGTTGCAAAATTGTTATATAGAAAATAGCGGTATATAATATTTACTATCAATTAGGTGTACGCATTCCTTTTTTATTTTGTTTTAAATCAATCCACAGATGTCGACGACGCGGATCTAGCACCGGAATCAAAAGCCAAGTAAATATATTTTTGTAGATATGTTTTTAAATCTATTTATTAAATCTTTATCGTTAGTAAGTCGCTTCGATATAGCGTATTCCGTGTAAGGTATGTAAACATCCACATCAGTTAGTTAACAAAAATCACAACTAAGCATCTTAATATTATTTCATTGTTCTCGTGGACAATTCATACGAAACTAAACATAATCTTAGCGTATATAAAATACGTAATTGTATTGCGTAAGTGTTGAGACGACTCAACACACAGGTTGGATTGTATACGTTTCCACGGTCCGAACGTAAGGCATTAACCCCACTAGTATAAAGCTTTTAAAAGTCCAACAAATATAAATACAATAAATATAGAAGCAAGCAGGGGGCCGTACACTTGAACTTTTCCAAAAATAACACCACTTAATACAAACTAAAAAATAATTCATAACTTTTATATTTCATTCATATTTTAATTAGTTTGGGTTTAATATGTGACTGACGAACGTATTCTTCAAATGAATAAATCGCAATACGATAATTTTCAGATACGAAATGGATCATAATTTCAAAGTTTTTTATAATTCTATCATCGTTTCTTTCCTTATTTGTTTGAAAACACAAAGAAGGAAGCGATATTTGATATTTACGTCAATTACAAACAATGTTTTATCAAGAAGAGAACAAAAAACACCGTAATTATAGCAATTTACGTAAAGTACATGTTCTTATAATAACTAGCTATCACCATATACAGTAAACTCACCATATACATAAGAATATTTGCGTGAACAATTTTACACGCATTTTTGCGTGAATAGACAACACTATTAGTAACTAGATACGATGCAAACAATGCGACCTGACAACATTGCCTAACAAGTCAACGACACGTCAACATCAAAACAAAGAAGCTTTACAAGCAGAAATTTTATTCTCTTGTTGCCTCAAATAAATAAGATTAATCAACTTTTTACTACCGTGAGTTTACACTATCGAAAGACTTGTATAAAAACATATACTTACTAATCTTAGTTCTTACTAATCTTACTAATATATTATAAATGCGAATGCTTGTGTGGATTGATGGATGTTTGAAGGTATCCCCGGAACGGTTCAACAGATCTTTATGAAATTTGGCACAGATGTGAAACATAGTCTAGAAGGACATAGGCTACTTATTAAGTTTTTATTTAGTAACGCGCGGACGGAGTCGCAGGCGTCAGCTAGTATGTTATATACATCATCTTTCTCAACAATACATACATTTTGAAATGAACGTCAGTAAGTGACTGGGGCCTTTGCGGTAGGACTATTTTATTTCACAATATGCAAAGCACGAAAGTACTCGTAGTAAGTAACCGCTGTGTTCCCAAATTGGGCAAAGCTATCGAATGTGCATTATGCAATATGTGTAAAAATAAATATTGTACGATCAGACAAACCTTGTCAGCGTCGTCAGACATATTGTACGTTGATTGGATAAATACCTTGATTCAATAAGACTATCCTCTAGCACTTAAGGGTTAATTTAAAAAATGAATTTTAAAATTATAATTTCTTGGTAACCTCTATTAAAGACATGAGCAACTATAAAAGAAAATTTTCATTAATGGTATTAAAATCAAATAAACTTTGGTTGTATGTTAACTTAATAGATAAAGTAATAAATTCCTATGAATGAACGTCAAGTAAACAGTAGAGTATGCACGAACAGGTGTGACTGGATCGTATGACCGCGTGTGGGCGATACGAAGGTTCATTATCAACCTGACGTGACACGTATGATATTTTTATAAGTTACCACCCACGGCTCAAATCCCTGGCTTTAATATTTCGTATGAAGTCATTCCGGTGTCGCCTTCAGACAATTGATGGTAATTAATTTTATCACAATTTTGTTAAGAAAACATGCTTTAATTATATTATAATAATGAAAATTAATGCTGTGACAAAGTTATTTGTCCTACAATACTAATAAGAAATTAATTTGCTATTTAAATAATCGATTTAGAAAAATTTTACATGTTGAAATACTTGTTAATTCAAATTGGTAATCATTTTTAAAGGAAAGAAAACGTTGTATTATGTTCAGAATGATGATGTAATCTTACTAATAGTATAAATGTTTAGATGGATGGATGGATGAATGGATGGATGGATGATTGTTTGAAGGTAAATCCAGAACATTTTGGCATAGGAGTAGAGCATGGTCTGGAAGAACACAAAGGCTACTCAAGTTTTTTTTAGTTCCGCGCGGATGGGTTCGCGGGCGACAGCTAGTAATCTATTCACGTAGAAAACATCCTCGGACCATGCAAAGTCACACAGTTCACAGGGTCATGGATAAAGTTTTTATTATTATCCTACACCCAAAATTTAATATTGATTAAAAAAATCATTGCTTGTATTTTATGTATGCGAAGTTAACAAAGCGATTCGTATCTTCTTAATTTGGAGTTCACCTTTACAACCAGTTTCTCTTCAATGAATGTCATCTTTATCGCGCGCCGCACGTTGATATAACCAACGTAATAACATCTTATTATCAGACGCAAAAAAAAGAGATAAAATGACTTATTATCTTAACACACTTTTGATACTGCCAGAAAAGTCACGAGCTGTTTTTATTAGTGCAGTTGAAAGAATAACCAAATTAAAACAACCACAGAGTCGGAAAGCCAGAGACAAAAACAAGAAGAAAAAATAGATAGATAAACACGCACCATTCAAAGCATTGCATCACTGGAAAGAAAAAAAATTGTTACAATTTATAAAATAGGCAAATATCTTTGTACTTATGTGATTGTTGTTTTTAATATTTTCTGACGTCGTCTATCACATTTATAAGACAAACGTAGGCTTGTCAACTTTCACTCCTGAGAGCGTGCATGCATATTAAGACAATTGGCCCGTTTACTTCTCGACTTTTTATTGCCATGACGGTGAATGGTTACCAAAAATTGTAGTCGAGTATACGATAATCGATAAAGAAAACACGAAGAATTACTACTTTTCGTATATTTAGTGAAGTATGTCGTTAAACAGAATAAAGTTTGCCTCCTCCGATAACTATCCTTTTTTAGCCGACTTCAAATAGAAGGAGGTTATTAATTCGTCTGTATGTTCTTTTTTTTATTTGTGTTATCGTGTAATTCAGCCCCTGGTTCTCCGATTTTGTAAAAAAAATTGATCAAAAGGTTTTGCTTGCTGGTGGATCCCATATTTTTTTATTAATTTTTAAACTGACCAGAAGTT